TACAGTTTGAAAGGCAAATGCATCTGTTTAGCAATGATGGACTAGAGTGAGATTATATATATTTGAATAGATCAGTAAATAGATATATCAGTACGTGTGTGTGTGTGTGTGTGTGTGTGTGTGTGTGTGTGTTTATGTCTGTCTGTATATGTGTATGTATCATGTATGTCTGTGTACCTACATGGTTTATAAATGAAAGTACATCAACATAGTATTTTCATCGAATAACCAAGTGTCTTTCATTTGTAGTCATGTGCCTGTCAATGTGAATCTGATTGGAGCGCCTGCACCGCTTCTTGTGGTGGTGGACTGCAGACTAGAAGATGTAGTGACACCAGCATCGTCACGCGGGTGTGCAACCCTCAAGCTTGTGGTAAGTTGTCTTCAAACTCTTGAATTAGCATGGTTGTTAAGTAAGGTGGGAGTCAGTACTTAGTACATGAATCGGTTTTGAACTGGGGGTATAGTCATTAGAAGAACATGTATTGGAAGAACTGTTTGTCGGAAAAGTGACAGCCCGTATCTATTCTGACTGAATGTTTTAAATATATATTTAAATATATTGCTGTTTTAATACATTTAATATATTGTGTCACCACAATCATTTTATGTTTCAATTGTAATAATACAAATTTCAACAACAAGCAAAAGTCAGACGAGACTTTAAAGCCTTGTTTAACTGATGTTTGTACTTAATTCACTGCATGGCAGATATAAAACATGATGATATAAATATCTCCCAGAATATGTAGAAATTATGGATTCAGTGACGGATAAAGGGGGGGGGGGTCAGGGGGTCCTGACCTCCTATTTGATTTTTGAAAAAACAACACACCAATGGTTCCCTCTTGAAATTAGAATTTTGACTAACTGAATCATAGTTCTAAACAGTATAAAATGGCAGAATTCGCCCTCTAAAATACCAAAATTTCTCGGGGACCTTCATCGGGCCCCGAACCCCGCGGACCCACCTTTAAATAATTCTGGATCCGCCCTTGTGATTGATTGGACCAACATATTGTTGTATATAATGCTTCCTTTTTCCAACTTCAGTACATCGTATTTCTCTTGATGAAAAGAAGTTTGGTGGAAAACTTTGTCAAAGTGTTAATAAGCCTAAATGCGGCTATTCTTGACTAACCGAAAGCTGGGGAAAACTCTTTTTTTTTTTTGTGGGTGTTTGTAGATGTAAGGGGTAGGTGGCTTGAAAGAAATGAGTTAAAATTAAGCTCTAAAAATTCTCACATCAATATGGACATCACGATTTTAAGGTCTCTAAAAGTGCTTTTTTTATTGTAGCCAAGTTAAAGTAACCAAACATCATGCATGGTTAGATAAGTGTAACATGAGAAGTATTTCTTGACTTTAAGTTAAATTGAGAGTGGGTGATAACATATCTCCAAACACACACTTCAAAATACATGTAGCCACAGAATACAGAAAAGCATTCTTTAAAACGCATGAGATCCCGTTTTTAATGTACTTTCAACCATGTACATTTTCCTAGTTTTCCTAGTCAAAATTATTTAAATGAATGAGCAAAGCTATATATTCTGAAACAAAAACTCTAAAATAGTTAAGGCATATGTCCCTGCATTCAAAGCTGACCTGTATATGATTTCTTATAGAAGTTTTATGACATGTTCTGTCTCTGCCAGTTAGTTTCACCAGCATTGCTGTCAATAAAAGTGTAATTTCGTTTCAGACATTTCCGTTGATATTTTGTCCAGTGACAAATGAAATGTATTCTATCTTGTAGAATTACGAAAGAGACACATTTAGACACGCTGTATATACATGCGTAGCATATTGATATTGTGGGAACTCAGTCTTAAAGGGATAACAACTTTTCATGAGATATCCGTATTTTACCATAAATACATTGTAAACAACTCATGGAAATATAATAAACTCTATTTTACCACCAAAAACGGCGGTTAACACAATTATGACGAATGGGACGTTACCAAAAGTGACACTTTTTAACAAAATAACTGGTTAATTTTTATAACACCGCCCCTCTTTTATGAATGGTTTGTGTTACTTGAACCCAATGCTTTTTTGCTCACTTTGTTATCAACAGGCAATAGTTTGGTGATTCATCACAGACTGTGACTTCAGAGGTGTCAGCTCTAATACCCCATAATTATCGCTGTTAGCTAGATAGTAAGATAGACAGTTTTCGTAACAAGAGGTAATAAACAAATAACAATCTCGAACGTTCTTTCTGAGCTCTATTGTATACTTTAGCCAAACTCTATAGTTCTATAATGTATTTTATCACGAAAAAAAATTTACTTCCCCCCTCCTCCCCCAACGATCTTGGTGTGCGCTTTGAAAGGGGCCTACGGAGCAATTTTTGATTTTTCTATTTTAAAAAGTAATTATTTCTTTATATTGAAACGGTGCATCTTTATTCCAGCAAGAGTGCCGGAACCTCTTGGGTTCTGGCCGCTGCAAATCAACACTGAGGGACGGGATTGTAGTCGTCATGGCAACAACGCTGATGTCCAAGGTGTATCATTTAATCGTGGTAAGAGCCAGAAAAAGTTACGAAATAATTTTCATTAATCGGGTGTACTTTGGGCGTGGAGAACTGCTTATTATGCAGCCACGCACAAGGTGACTAGGTAGAATGGCGTTGGACATAATACTTTTTAACATTTGTTTTACTTTTGAATAAATTTACATGTATCATGACCTATTCATAGTACAGGTGTCTTAAAGGCAGTATATGATGCTCACATTCCAATGAAAAACAAGTCCATTTCAAACAAAAATGCAATTGCTTTGTAGTTGTCAGTTACATGCATTTGGAATACTGCCTATTTTAAAAGGTGGCCCGAAATCTAATCAGCTCGCTTTTAAGTTTAAATACGTGTTTCAAAATGTTGCTACAGTTAATTTTCAAATACAAGCTTCATAGAAACCCGGGATTTAGTTACACTTCTTGTAACGTCAGGAAACAGAAATAAACATTTAGTTGATATTAATAGACTGGTTGATTAACCGACACATATGTACAATAGTCGACTAAGCAGGTTTTACATATTTCATTTTTTAGAAAGCTACGATGACGCATATAGCTCTGCAAAATTTGCGGGAACGGCTACTTCTTTTCTTACAATTCCGAATGAAGGTGCCACATTGGAGACTCTCTCGTTTACGTACGTCGCCTTTGTGAGAATCTTCGCTGAAGATGCGAAGTATAATGGGCCCCTGTTTAATTTCCAAATTGAAGAGAATGGTCTCTTCAGCAAGTACGGCACTCATGTATGGTTTACGGGATCAAATAATCTGTTTGTCCGTTTGATGATCGCACAGCCGTATAAGTTCCTCGGCTACTATTCACGTCCGGTATTCTCAGGCTCCACTTGGGTTCATGCCGCTGTTTCCTACGACTACACCACCGGGCTGTACCATATATACAAGAACGGCGTTGAATTGGGGGAGTCAAATGTCGGCCAACACATCCATACTACTAGCGGCTCTGTACGTATTGGCGCACGTCACATATCTGCTAAGGACGGCCGCTACTTCAAGGGAGCCATGAAGTGCGTGCAGTGGTTTGGTGAGGTACTCACCGCAGAGCAGATTCAGGAGACCATGCGCGCTTGCGATAATCCTGTGCCCTGTCGTGGTTAGTTCACGGAACTGTTTCAACTTAATCCTGAAATATTATTATTATTTCTTTTTAAGCTGAAATCTTATCTTGAATCACGATAAAGAAGTTGTAGTCTATGAAGAATGAAATTTGTTAGTGTTTTCTTTCTTATGCATATTAAACAAATTTTGGAATAATTGCAGTGTGGTGAACAATATTCAAAAAGAGGGTAGGTAGACATATTGGTATTGTATTTAAAGTGTTCTGTTCCATTTTTAATTCTTCATATCTAATTTTTAGAAATATCTGTAGTCTTAGCTGACTGATCATTGAATTAAATAAATTCTGAGCAGGCGATCCATTGTATTGGCTTTTGAATGAGTATGTTGGTTTTATTTTGTCCTTTGTTTAGTTTCAATTTACATAACCAGATGCAGAAAGGACCTCTCCTTCAGCTTTGTTCTTTAAATATATGGATGCAAGATGAATATCGTGAATTCATTAACACCAAACACAAACTATTTTACCGCGCCACTACATTTCCATCAATTATGGGATTGAATTATAGAGACAGTGGCTGTCTATACATGTGAGGCTTGATATTTAATATGGAATATTTCAGTTTCAAAGGTATGCCTAGGTAAAATGCACACTTTTTTCATAAACCTCAGATCTCATAGAAGATATCCATATGTTGTCAACTACTGCATAGAAGAATTTGAAAATTTACATGCAAGCGGCCAGTTTTGCAGTGTGCAAAATGTATTAAACGGTGTTTTATAAAATTGATAATCTGTGCCAGAATGGCGCGAAATAGACAGACATTGCCAAACGAAATGATCCACACAGTTTTATAGAGTTATGATCAGACTGATGTACCTACACAGAGGCCACGCTCAATGTATCGAAATCTTACCACCAGTGTAAAGGACTCGCTGTCCTATCGGATATGCTGCTACAACTAAACAAAAACCACCCAGTCTGTTCAGAATGAGGTGCAAATTGCCACCAGAAGGCGTTTTAAGGCTGGTTTCGGCAGGTTAGAATACCACACTAACTCTGAGGAAGCCACTGTAAACAGCAAAACAGCGTCGCTTGTTTCTGTAATTAATTGGGGACCCTGACCGTTTCTGGATAGAACACTAAACCCTCTTGGCTTTCTTTACTGAGAGCACTTTAAATAGCAGATATCTTACAGAACCTTGGTTTTTAAAATCGCCATATTTTAACCACATAGAAAATATGTGGGTAGGTAATTACTCGCCGAATCAACGGCCTGCATGTCCTACAACAATGCTGGACCAATTCCAACAAGAATGGTTCTAAAATGTTATGTATCTTCTAGGCCTTAATTCCCACATTATTTGTAAACAAGGATACCCATATTCTTCCTTACATAGTAATATCATTAAAAATTAAAAATTTGGTAGATCCATATGTCCAAACCACAAACTCCCCACAGAAGTAGGTAGGTGGCACCAAGATCAGAAAGAAAATGTAGCCTCAATGATAACAACCGGGTGGGAGATGAGTTTCATTATATAATGGAATGCAGTTACTTTAAAATGCAACGATCTATTTACTTATGTGAACGTTTCATTGACAGACAAAATACCTTATAACTCCATTACCTCTTTTCTTTAGAAAATACAGTTACACTCTCCAAATTATCAAAGTATATTTTATTCATCAATAAGAGATTATCCGGAAGGTAAAGCACTACTCTATTAGAATGTTGTATCCTCAGTTATAGATTAGTCAAGTGACCTTGAACGCGAATAATACAATACGTTTTAGCGCTTTTACGTTTTGACTTTAAAGTTTTACTGAAGTGTGTTATAAATTTTAGTGGCTGATATCTTAAGACGACAAAATGATGTTCACTAAACATTATTCTCAATATTGAAGCTAACTATCCTACTAATGAGATCGTGTCGTTATGAAAACATGGGAAACAATATAAATGTTCACCAGCAATTTATAAAACCAGTTTTCATTTGCGTTCCCCAACACAGCACCATCAAATGTTGATATATGTTTGCCATGGCCAGAAATGCGCAGCATTCACGCGATACGCGAGGGCGCTATAGTAGGGCTTCACGTGACTCAACAAGCCAATCACAGCACAACAATGGCATTGCACACAGACTCTGTGATAAGTGCTCAGCCCATTGTCAAGTAGTGTTAGTTCATGGTAACAAGCGGCTGACATGTGCAGAGAAGTTTATTGTAATATGTATTGTTCTTATTGTTACATTATTAAATCTAACTCTGTATCCAAGTAGTAACTATACTGTACCAAGTCAGGTACTGATGATGTGAAGAGGTCATATATTCCAGAATAAGCAATTACCACTAATTTATAACTTTAATTTTGTTTAATATGTTATTCATGAAAAAGTTCATGAAAGATTATTTTAATTTGTTAAATCGTGATCTTATTCTTTTTTTATTCAAATAATTGAATAATGTGGGTAAAATTGGTCTTCCACTTCTTATTTGCATTTTTCCTTTACTACAAGATTACTTTAGAACAGTTGCAACATTAAAATTTAAAATAAATAGCAATCTGAAAGAAGAATTTTGCATTATTATTAAATGATGATAGGAATTTTGGATTAAGAGATTAGATAAATACTGAGTAGTGATATTGTCAGTCAATTTATGTAGAATCTGATAATATGATTGAAAATACTGATTGAATTCTTGACCTTGCACTGGGCAGTTTCACATTTGTGCCAAGTGCTTTTTTGGACCCCATTGTACAGTGGTAAAAGTTCTTCAATTACCACGAATTTTTTTAATTAGACTCTGCATGGTGCTGATATCTGCTGGTGCTATCGGCAACGAATGAGTTTGCCTTTGTTTCTGAGTAAATCCACCGTCAAAAATCACTATTTCTGAAAATATCTGCGTTTTGCTGAGGGTAGGCTAGGCAATACACGGCAAACTTCTTAGAACGTGTGTACAACAGAATTTTTTTAAAAACCCTAGCAATATTTGGTCAGGAGTTGCTTGAAGCATAGTACAGCGCTGCTGTCTATCGGTATCATGCCGTTAGTTTGTCAATTATCACGAATTACCCACGAATCGCGAACCCATTCATTTTCCTATGGCAATCTAGCAACTCATTAAAAGTGCACGCATGCGCAGTAGGCTAAGCGTGACGTCATGCAGTGCATTTCTGGGGATGACCATATGCCGATAGTTTACTATTGAACTTTGATAGGACTTCGCATATTGGCAATCTTACCGTGACCTTCAATTTGACCTTTGACCTATAAAATGTCTGTTACATTTTGTAGAATTTGCCAACACTGGGTCCCTCCATTTCTTTTAAGAAAAATTAGTCTTGTTTTTATAGTGTTATAAAAGAAAGGTGACATAAACGCCTATATTTTAGAGATCAGTAGGAAAACTCAAACTGGAAATGAGTTTATTTTCAAGGACCACACTGAGGTATTTTTGCAAAAGCCACACATCATCTAAAACTGATTGATGAACTGATATACACACTAGGATAATAGATATTAAACTAAAAAAAATTGTCAATTTAAGTTCGCCATAAGTGAAAAGTGATTACATAATATATTTTCGTGCTAGATAGTAACCTTCTTTCCATATAGATATTTATGCCAATTTGATAAAAGCCATGAATAATCTAATTCTAATTAATGAACTTATATATATATATATATATAGATCAAAAATATTCAATATGTTAAATATTGGAACATTTTTCCAAGTTGTTGACATCTTTGGGAAAATATATTTATATACTGGTAAAGTACATGGTGTTCATATTGTTGAGGGAATACATTTACTGAATTTAAATATTTAAAATTTCTATTTATATACAGTGGTTTAAAAATCACTTTAACACAATGTTAAATATTCAAACATCCACTAGAAAACTAACTGATGGATTTATATACATACATACACATCAAGCCACGATATCTTCAAGCTATACTCTGTGAAAGAGAACAAAGTATATCGTATCTTACATGTAACATATTGAAACTTTCTGCAAAGATAAATATCTGTGGTGTTTTCATTATTCAACATATATACAGTGGTCTTGTAAATATAATTTAATACAATGCTACATAGAAAAACATCCACCTTGAATAATATCAAAACAATTAATGGACTTATATGCATACACATGTACAATTATCAAACTATACTCTGTGTGAGACAAAACTGAGTGTATGATATCTAAGCACATGTTACGTATTGAAACAACTTACCATGTGCATTTGTGCTGTTGCCATCATTGAGGAAATATATTAACATAAATTACATGGTGTTGATTTTGTCAAAGGATACATCTACATGTACATAAAACACATATGGACACTTTTTACATACATACAGTGCTTTTTTTTTTTACAAATATCCATTTTTGTATGTGGGAGATAACACAAGAGCTAGTTTATAAGTTAGTTTGCATAGATGGGAATAATAGCATATACAGGGTCATAGCGCTGTAATAGGTGCACAGTGTACCTGTTTCTACTGGTTTTACACCTTGTACATAGATGGGTATAATAATATATACAGGATCATGACACTGTAATAGGTGCACAGTGTACCTGTTTCTACTGGTTTTACACCTTGTACATAGATGGGTATAATAACATATACAGGATCATGGCACTGTAATAGGTGCACAGTGTACCTGTTTCTACTAGTTTTACACCTTGTACATAGATGGGTATAATAACATATACAGGATCATGACACTGTAATAGGTGTACATTGTACCTGTTTCTACTGGTTTTACACCTTGTACCAGTATATGCATTTGGAGAAACAGTAATCTGTTGGTGGTATTGTAAAGAAACACAAACAAAGGAGCTCTAATGTAAGACAAGTCAACATTGAAGTCCCCTAATAGGTCTCATGGGTCACTGGGTTTTGCTTAAAAGTTGGGGTCACATTTGATGCCTAACGGTACATATGGATGTCTGCCTAAGGTACTATGTAGCTTTTCAGCAGGCTTGTTCAAAATCAATATATAAGAGTCAGTTTATCTATCTGATGTCAATATCTATGGTAATACACCATAGGTTCTTAGTCAACAGTGACCCAAGAGTATCAACATCTTGGCAGACACTGTCATACACATGTAGTTTTAATGTGCTCCAATAGGGCTTTTGTCTGTAACAGGTGTGGGGGGAGCTGCCACTCCTACCGCCAGTCGCTCATCACGAGAAGACTGATCACCTCCAGCTTCATGTTTCTGTAATTCATCCTCTACATCCTGGTGGCTAACTTCTAGTTCATCTGCCAGATGCCCTTGTTTGCATTGTCTGAGGACATGTTTCAAGTATCTGATTAGTTGTTTTTCAGGGCTGTTTGCAATTAGCCTTTCAAACAACTTTCTACAGGCATCTCGTGGATTTTCCTTGGCAGTATTTTTAAGCACTGTAATCTCCTCATCTGGTACCTTGTCATCCTGATTAAAGTAATCTAAAATTCTTCCAATATCAATATAAAGTTCCTCAGCAAAGAGGATCTTATTCTGTCGAAGTTTCTTATACTCCATTTCACTCTTAAGTCCATCCTAGAAAAGAAATGTAACAAGCCAAATAAATAAAGTTTATGTGGACGTGTGCATTTTCACACCTTGTCACAAACTTAAATTTTGGTTAAGCGCCTTGCTGGCAGCAAGTAAATTAGTCCAGGCAATCTATGGTTTGAGTGCAAAGTAATTGCAACAGTGTTTATTTTACCACGGTGCTTTTGGATGAAGTCCCCAAATGATATACTAAATGTACGAAGGAATCCTAGCATGGGAGATATGAAAAATCCAAGATGGCCGACCAATGCCATAGTTATATATGGGCATCAACTACAACCAGGGAGAAAAAGTGACCATTATCAAAATTGAATTGCTTCTCAAGTTTTCTTTATCTTAAGTACAATTAGAATATATTTATAAGTCGGCAAAACTTTGTGTATCCTTTGGCAATTTGAGAAAATCCAAGATGTCTGCAGGGTGATACGAATGCCATTCTGAAAGTAAAAGTTAGTCTGTTTCTAAGTGTTTATAACATCCTTAACACCAATATAATATTTATCCGGTGGGGGACAAACATGTTACCGTGGGTATTGCAAGGAGATCCAAGACGGCCACCATTTCCTTAGACATACTAGTACATAGGTTTCGATTACTGCCAGTGAGACAAAGTATTCCAATAGCAAATGGCAGCTATTTTAAATTTTCTCAAAATACACAAGGATTCACATTTGCTTTCTACCAAATATATATCACAGCTACAATAAGGATGTAAAAAAGACACATCTGAATAGTACTTTATCATTATTGACCCCATATGTTTCTCTGGCGGTACACAAATCTGCCCCTTTCCTCGCAAAAACACCCCACTGGTTACGGTTCTGTGCTCTTCGGTTGAACCATTGACCTGCAGAGGTCCGTTAGATCGTCGCTGTATCGCGCTTAAGGTCTACCGCGTCCTTGAGATAAGTATACTGCTCCCATGAGAATGTTGAGAATGAACGTGGGTAAGTGAAACCCAGGAACGGGTATTGATGTAGCAAATGTCAGCCAACTTGGATTTTCTCAAGGATTTACCCTTGTGACCATATATATTTAAAACATAGTGGTAACAAATTTGAGGAAGACACTGAAATACTGAAGTAATTGAAACATCATGAACTAGTATTCGTGTGATATATGGACGCCATTTAGATTTTTTTCGAAATGCTCTAACATACCGACTTGTTACCTACTTCATATATATCATGGAATTATTGAAACTATGAAAAGCACTGATGAACAAACACACTTTTATTCCTGTATCTCCCTGGGAGTACATGAAGTTGAAACCTACTGTCTATGTATTCCTTTGACTAAGGTAGGCCATGTTGGATTTCATGCCCAAGCATACATAATTGTTACACACCACTGATATATATATATATATATATATATATATATGAATGGCACTCTGTTCCACACTCACGCTTGTTATATATATATATATATATATATATATATATATATATATATATATATATATATATATATATATATATTGAAAACACTCAGAATTGAGCTGCCTTTGATAATGGACAATCGATATCCCTGGTAGTTGCTGTTTAAAATCCATGTATTCTAATGGTTAATGGCGGCCACATATATGTTATCCGATATATATAAAAGGAGTAATAAGGGAAAGGAAAACACTGAGAAACAAACTTAATTTGACAATGGACCTTTTTATCTATCTGACAGTAGAAAGAACCCATGTCTAATGGCAATTTGCGGTCATATTGGATTTTCTCAAAATACCCAAGGTTATACAAATCCACTTGTTACCCACCAGATATATACCAAAAGTATAATAAGGGTTTCGAAAACACTTTGAAACAAACTTTATTTGATCATGAAGATTATCTCTTGGGTATTTTTTTATAGTTTAAACCCATACATTTCTATAGAAAACGGCCACCATCTTGGATTTTCTCAAAATGCTGAGGAAAGGAAAACTTTAATCTTTCATAAATATATTATAGCGGTATTGAAGATACAGAAAACACCGATTAACAATCTAAATCTGTCTTTGGGCACTTCATCTTCTTGTTTGTAGTTGATACCCCTGCTGTCCATATATTTCTATGGTATAGGCGGCCTCTTTTTTTTTTTTTTTTTTTTTTTTTTTTTTTTTTTTTACATTTTCCAAGCTAGGATTTCTAGGACTTTTAGTACGTCATTTTGGAAAAAGCATTGTGGTAAAAAAATTACTTTGGGGTTTGGCCCTAAAATGGCTTAGATTGTCTAGGCTAAATCTCATCTTTGCATTTATAAACAAAACACATGCAAAATTTGAATAAAGTTATCCTTCTTATATTTTTTTTAAATAATATTTCACTTGAATTTTGAAGAGATTAATTTGCTGAGGAGTGTTTTAGTAGATACTACAGAGCATAAAATAAAGCCAGCGAAACCAAAACATTATACCATACTGTATATTTAAGGGTCAAATTCCACAAAACGTTGATTTTTTCATTCGACCAAATACAGTCCTAGTGTTAAGTTTGTGTATATTTTTTCGTGTACAATAGAGGGAGTGTGATAATGATAGGGTCGTTAAATGATTGACGGAATATAGTGACTAGCCTCATCCTCTGGTCGACTTGGTAGGCACGCCCCCTTAGAGTAATTATGTAAACAAACGGCCTCCGTAGGGAACCATCCTTTTGTTCAACAGCTTCGAGCGTGCAGCGGATAATATCTCTAGTGACACTAGCTAATTGCAGTTAAAATTGTGCCAGCTGTTATCTAATTTAATGTCGGACGTTCATTGACTCATTTCTTTTCTGAAGATTAGTGTTGCAGATTTTTGGTGCTTAAAGCAATAATAACTCTTCGTTTTGGCCAAAAAATGAATTTTCCTGGAGTAAACAACAATTTTCCCATGCTTACCAATGGTTAATGAATCCATTTTTACATTCAAAGTTAGTCCCTGGTTTTTTTCTAAAAAGTTTAGTTTTTTGTTAAAATCTCTTAAGAGATTTTAACAGAGTATAGACATCAATGGAGGTCACGTGGTCTAAAGACAAGTTCAAATATCAGAATAAAAGCTATAACTGCTGTTTTTATGGTAAAACAGAATATATTATATTTCTATGAGTTATTCACAAGGTTTTTATTGTGAAATATAGGTCTCATACAAAGAGTTATTATGCCTTTAATTATTTCCCATCCTTCTAACAAGAGAGAGTGGAAGGGAGAGAAAAAGAGAGAGTGTCAAATGAAATGGGTAATATGAGTAATACAATATGGCACTAAAGTTCAAAGGACCCAAGGTAGAAGAAACGAAAGACTATTATAATGAGTACATGGTCCTTAAAGAGGGATTACATTAAATGCAAACTCATTGATGTATTAATACACACTTTTTTGTGGAATAGACATTAATTTAATTTGATCTTCAGGAAATCGTTTTGGTTCGAATAACACAGCAACCCATTAGGCAATTCCTTTAACAATCCTTTTGATGTTGTACCCCCAGCCCATTTCTTTTACTGTGTTAAATATCCCCCGTTTCTCATAACACACTAAGACTAATGTAGTAAAAATATTGAAAATAAATAAGTTTTTATAAACATGGCAATAAAAGCTAATGTGGAGCAGTGGGGAAATGATAATCGAAGACCAACGTGTGACAGGGGAAAAGCCTGACAATCTGATAACTTGTCACATTTACATTATAGTACTGTTAATTGTGACGTCGATTAAGAGGGGGAGAGGTCTTACTGTAGCTCGCAGTCTATTGTTAAATGCGATTGTTATCTATTTTCTCAAAGAAGCTAAAGCCATGCCTTTACACTAGTAAAATTGGTGATAATAAAGATACGCCCTGTCATACACGCTGATTATGTAAAGAAATTTTGACGAGGAATTGGATAAGTTAGGTGGTCCAAAATATGCCAGGAACCAAGTAAATTTAGATGTTCAACCTCAAACACTGCTATATGTATTACCATGAGTTATTTAGATATCTGTTTCACAAGAAAGCTAAGCATATATCCTCGCCATACCAAAGTTACATCTGTTTTTTATAGAACAACGAAAAACCCACCCATCTTGTGACCGTAAGACAAATTCCATAAACAACCTTTTTAATCCCATTTTTCAGAGCGTCCAAATATTTACACGGTAAAAATATTTAAATTAAAAGAAGTCACTTGTAGTGGCGCAAGGACATTCCAACTCCAACGTGCAATAGGGGGAAATCTGATAGTGTGATCACAATATATGAAAGTATGGTCAATTAACAGTGAAAGTTAAAGAGGAGGGGGGTCTTACTATAGCTTGCAATCTATTGTTAACGCAATTGTTACTAACAACAGAGTTATGAGCTGACAAAATGCTTTAAAAATATTCTGCTGTGGGAAATAATCCCTTTTATCAAAGAGCACAATGGGTAATGAGATGAAAATATTTAAAAATAAATGAAAAGGTTTATATAAATAACAGAATAAGAGAAAATGTCTAGCAGTGGCGTAAGGACAATTTAACTCCAGCGTGCAACAGGGGAAGCCTGACAGTGTGATCAATCTATATGATAGTACAGTGAATGAACAGTCTAAGACATCGGTTAAAGAGGAGGGGGAGATCTTACAATAGCTGGCAATCTATTGTTAAACACGATGGCTATCATTTCTTAAACAAACTTAAATAAGATTAGTGATGTAAAATAATAATGGTAGTTCAACGGTGGCGATGAAGAATGTGTCATTTATAATGTTAATAAAGTAAGGCTGGTTCAAGCTAATTGTCCATTTCAAAGAAATCTTTTTAGTAAGTGAGGCTACACGTCAGCTTGTTCTGTAAATATTAAAAAAAAATAATGTTGCTTTATTTTTTATACAGGTCGCGGTGATGGAAAGTTATGTACGGATCATCTTTAAACTTCAAAACTTTTTGGCCATAAACTGTGCTTTTATGAAAATGCTATTCGCCGCTTTTTTCTTATTCCTCATTCATTATCATTCATAATGTATAAATACTATCTGCAATAAGAATTTTGAGACAGGGTGAATTGTTAATCATGCTGATGCACGATGCTGATGCTTATGCATGTTAGTCAAATCCAATTTTTGACTACGGAACACTTCATATTGAATGGAATAACTGATAACAAATAAAACCAGTTTTCTAGCAACACGAAAAAATTTTGATATGCTGCGCGTGCCACGCTAGTGAATAGAAGGACAGTTCGCTACTGGAGACAGTTTAGAGGCACGCGGTAGCATGGGTTCTAGGCTCTTAAAGCTATAATCCTTCAACAAGCAAAAGGGACGTTCTGGCTGATGTATCCTGCTATTAATTACACCTAGTTACATCGGATTGTCGCGCTCGCGCTGGACCGCAGATACCGGCGTCATGGGGTTCACTCATCTAAGGTACTGTGTTATTCCGTTTGGATTTTGAAGGGATTTATACCACTGTCCGTTGTTTGCCCACCCCCTTCTATTCACAGGGTAGGGATTAAAACATATACGTTTTTAAACCGGTATACAACGGAAACATAATTACGACTAGGGCTGTAGTCAATTACCTTGACTTCGTCAATCAAATCTTGCAGACTGTATTGCTGTCTCTCTCTGAGGCTTTCCTTTAACTTTAACAACTCACTGATGAAAGATGCTATGGAACCATGGACTTGAGACAACAATAAAGACACAACATCAGGAGGACATGGGGTATCATCTGAAATGCCATACATCTTCTTCACTTGGTTCCATACATCAACTTGACAAAAAGCCTCGTATAGTCGTTTTCTTACACGTGGAGGGACATGTTTATAAAATGATGTCGTAACATCTTTCTCTTTCATTTGTGGCATCGATTTCTCATCTGTACCATAATTGTGGTAAACATACTGAACATTGTATATATTAGTTGTATTGCCTGTATTAGTTGGGGTCTGTCTTAGAACCCCAGCATTCTCTTGTGCTACTGTCCTAGATGACCGTTGTAACTGATTATCCCCAGGGACTCGGGTAAGAACTTGGTTTGCCGTTGTTGTGATGATTGGAGGGCCAGTAAAACCCTGGTCTCGATCCTCAGCAGCCACGGGGTCCTGTTGTGGGGGTAAAGATGCAAATTCATAACCTGATTTCCTCATTGTTTGAAAGTGGTCATCACCATGTTCCTCCAGGCGGTTGTCAGTGACTGGCACCTGAGGTAGTCTGCTATGTTGGGATTGTCCTTCTTGGTGATAGCGTTTATTTTGTCCCGCTGACTCACCAGGTAGTGTCTGAAATTGGAAATTGCTTTGTTGCAACCATTGGTTGCCAAAATAAGGTTGTAATGATGGTTGAATCTGTTGGTATTGTCCCTGTGCAACCATCTTCCTGGTTGTCTGGGATTGGAAGTCATCCTGCTGGTTGCCAAAGTTAGGTTGTAATGGTGTCTTCAATGAAGTAGACACATTTTGTAACTGATTGCTCATATGGGCTTGGTCAAGAACTTGGTTCTCTGTTCTTCTGGTGGTCTGCGGGTCAGTAATGCCTTGATCCCCAGCAGCCACACGGCCCTGTTTTTCAGGAAAAAGTGGGAATTCACAAACTAAATCAACACAATGTGATACTTGTGATTATCATCATTAAAAATAGCGCACTGTGAAAATAAAATGAATTTGATGTTAACATGACTAAAATTATATTGTATTTTCCATACATTAACGTACTGGGGATATTCCAACCACATGCTCTATATGCCATGGCAGAAACCCCCTTTAAAATTAATTTTACATCTTTTGAAAAACAAACCCATATGTTCTATATCACCGTTACTGGAATGAACATTTTTCCAGTGTAAATGCTTCAACCCGGTTTCTCAATCGACATTTAATGTTGTTTTGAATACAACTGTAACTTTTCTGACTTACTCCTGATAGCTGGAACCATTGTGGCGAGGTGTCACCAAAGTTCTGCTTATTAAGAGGCAAAAGAAGTTCACCCAGGGACTCATTGTGGCCAAATGTGACCTTGCCCAAGACTGACAACCACAGAAATCTTCTTTCCAGCTCATTCTTAGTGATGTTGTACTGAAACAGGATAGTAAGCAACTGTCAGCAGAATATCACAGCATGTACATAAAAACAAATCGTGTTGTATTGAATTGTTCACCTTAAATGCTTAAGCTTGGCACCAACTAATGAAATAGAATTTCCTTTCACGATGACTTACATGCACCGTTTCATCAAATATTGGATTCAGGGTATTCTTCCTAATCTTTGTTTTTCTCTTTCCAACTCTTGGTTTATCTGGCAAAAGGTAGGTCTTGACATAGCTGCAACCCAAAGATTTAAAATGTTATTAAGTTGAAGTAATGTCATAAGTTGAAGTACGTCTCAGTGGGTTAAATTAATGTATAGGGGTACATGTAGGTTTTAAGTAAAACTATCCTCAGGTTTGTTTTACGTGATCGTTTATGATTATCTTAATCAGCTTAGGCCAAAAAAGTTCTGCTTAAACCACTAGAATAAAAAATCAGAAAACAAAAACTGTTCATCATGATTTCGGAGCACAGTCGGAAGTGCTTCCGGCCTGGAATTTCCCACGCTCACGACCAATCACAACAGGGTTCAGCCAGAACATAGGTGATTAGAATGACGATGGAGGGCCTGTTTGTCAGAGCAGTGGCATACCTTTTGTCCTCTCAACATGTTTTTTGGTATATGTTTGACATTACTGGAATTTGGATCACAGTAACATTTTAAATATAGAAAATGCATGTATCATGCCTCACGTGTTTCAGTCGGATTTTCTTTTCAAAAGGCAAACAAGTTCGTGGAAAAGAACTCCGTATTGTTGACCGATTCCTCGAAGATCCTTCCCAGTTGAAATATCTTCAGACCTACACACCGTAGTTATCGTCCTTCTGAGTTATATATGTAACTTTGGGCTGAACATTAATTGGGAAGTGACGCATATTATCAGTTTTATTTTATAGGCAGACAGTGCAAATGACTCGAATAGTAATGGCAGGAATACTAGTGTCAGTACGGAAGTGGGACCAAGCAGATAATTCGAGGGTGAATTATTGATAGGTCTAATAAACTATAGTTTTTAGTGGCTCATAACACTGTTTGTACATGTTACAGATTGTGAACACATTACATTAAGATCCACAACTAATTAGATAAAACAATGATCATTGTATCACAGTTTTATCTGACCTAATTATTACGTCTTACACGTATTGACTGTATGCTAGATAGACATATTATTATTCACCATCTTCATTCAAACCCTGTGCCTTTATGGGGTTACAGTTTTTTCGAGTAAATCCAGAGTACATGTGCACTGTGTAGAATTTTTATAATATAGCAGTGTCCAATCATGGGATGCAATTCAAGCTGTGATCTATTACGTACAGGGCCACGTGATTATGTTTACAGACAGCGAAAAGCACATTGCCACATGTGGTAGAAAGATGAACTTCGGAATAATAGTACATATATAGCAAATATAATGTAGTAACTACTGAAAAATATTATGACAGAGAAAGAGTGCACATCGGGGTGTTTTGTTCACTCAGAGACGGCATATAAAAAAGGAAGAAACTCTCCAAAGGAAGAAGCTCGATGGCAGACGCTGAGGGTTGCTTCAGAATAATGGCTAATGCTCTATGGAGAAAGAAATGATATAGCAGAGCGTGTGAGTAGACATATGTGCTTGCTGTCTAAGAAAAAGTAAACATCTCAACCTTTTTTGTAACATGGACAGTATATAGTGAATCGTGTTTTATAATTATTTAAGATATTATTGCATTGAGAGGGTTTAAAGATATTTCACTGGGGGGAGGGGATTTGAACCCATTAGGAATATCAGGATAAGTCCCCTTGGTGTCAGTAAAAGGCCACAAACAAATAGACTTTGACCCCATGTAATAGGCCCTGGAATGGCTTCAAGGGCATGGGTTTCATAATCTAGCATTATGATACACCTTAAGGAAAGTGCAAGTTTACTTACTTAGGGCCTTTTTTTCTTTTTCTTTCTTTTTTTTTTTTTTGGCTTGAGTGAATTTGTGTAGAGATTATTTGTATTTCAAAGTTAAAATACATATGTCGCTTTTACTGTTTATTATCACTTTCTTTTAGATAAATCCGATTTTGCAGAGTAGACTTGTTAGTGGCCAGTTATATCATGCATCTTGCTATCGATACTTCGCAGAAAAATTCAAGATGGAGCAAGCAAAAAGAGAGAAAGATAGGGTAAGAATTTTTTCCTCAGGGCTTCCTAACAACTACATGCAGTAATGATGCATAGTATAATAAGCGCATATATAGAATGTTTGTGTATCTGCATATGTGACTCAGAATTCCATGTAACAGATTTAATTTAATATAGTCAGTTAGCAACATAAACAAATGATTATGAAGCAGAACACATTTAAAAGAATATACCAAGTATTGCTGTTTGTCATATGTACCTAACCATTTGCCACATATTTCAGGGGCAGTCTCTGTTGACAAACTATGCACAGAGGAAGAAAAAACAGAACCTCCTCCTAAGAAATTACGCTCTACTTCTCCAGCCTTTACTGGTTCAAGGCATCTTTGGCCAGATATCTGTATTATGTAAGGACAAGTGGATAAAGGTAAAAAAATCACAGAGAGAGAGACAAGCTGGTACAAGCAGAAACTCTATCTGCAGTTGTGTATACAAATAAGTATAGTGAGACCATAAAGCCTACATATGAATTATTTATGGTCTTGATAAGTATTACATGATATTTAGTTATTTTGGTAGCTTGAGTTTTGGCAATTTTTTGGAAATACATTTTTTTTTATTGTGATAGCAAATATCAAAATTGGGTTCAAATATTTCACATTGAAAAATTTTTATGTCAAAATATATTGTGAGTGATAATTCAGTTTACATTATAAACCAAGTAATTATACCAGTGCTCGCTTAATATTGTATGGATTAGTTAAAGAAATAGTGTAAAAATAGTATTTTAAATTGTAATAGTTACTGATTGTATATGATATGAAATTTTAAACCAAAGTTGGCACAGTATTGAAACAAATATTTTTCATTTCTGTTCTACTTTTAGGCAACTTGACCAAGATAGAAGAATTAAAAAATGAGTCTGTTCGTGTACACAAAAGGGGCAAAGATTGTGTAGCCATGGAATTGAAATATCACAAGAAGTGCTTCAAAACCTACACCAAATATGCAGGAGAAGAAAAAATGAAAATGTATGTTTCTACTAGGTCAGATAAAAAGTGCATCAGGTTAAAGTTACCTTTCTAGTATTTTATTAATGGGTTAAATTTACTTCTCATGAAAGATGAGTGATCATTTATTGTACTTATGTTTACTTAACATGTTTTTCCCGCCTTTTCTTATCTTTTTCTAGGCTACCTGAACCTGTGGAGTGGGAAAATAGTTATAAAACATTTTGCGATTCTGTTGTTAAAGAAAGACTGATACAGAAGATGGAGGTTCTGCGACTGCACAAACTAACCCCAATCTTCAAGGCAGAAGTTGAGAAACACTCAGGTAATGATAAATCAGGTGTTAGGTGAGACATCAAATGGTGATTGCTTAATTAAACGAAACTTACATTGAACGAGGAAGTGTTTAGGAAAGTGTAATAAAAGTATACTTGCTAAGTTTAGCTAGGATTTAATCACACATTTAATTGTTTCACAATAATCACTCAAAGAGTGACTAGGTCTGAATTTTGAGTCATTATTCCTAATGTTGTTCTACATCATCTTATTATTTCTGTTTTTATTGTTCAGGAATGATAGACTCAAGAGCTGGCTGATGAAAGATTTCCCACAGCTGGTTTTCCATCAAAGTCACATAAATACAAGTGAGTTTGTGTTTGTGGAGGAGCTACAGGCAACAGACCTCCTGCAGCACCTGCTAAGCAGTTCTGGTACATCAGGGACAGAAACTGAGGAGGAACCTATGGGTGTATTTCCAGAGATTTAGATCGATCCAAGGATTAAGATTTAGATCGACCTAACTCCCTGGGGGTTCTTGCTAAATTGCAGTCAGCCGAGTGCGCATCATAGTTAATTACCCCCTTACGACTTTCAGTAGGCAGGGCAGACGCTTAAGCTGGCTAAGCTGACAGTATTCTAGTGAGACTCCCTACAGGGATAGATCGATCTAAAATCTATGGAAATGGGGTCTATAACACCCCCACAGAGAAGAAAAAAAAAGTAACGAATGGTGGAAAACTTGTCAGCTTATACCGAGCTGGTGTGATACTCAAATCTTGTTTGAAAGAGACCCCAGGTATGACAACACCATGGCCTCCCTCTTCCAGTGATTTTACAACTGCAGCAGCCAAAGAAGTTGTTCCCAATGAACTTTATAATCTCCTTTCTTGGGCCATTTCTGCTTCAGAAGAGCCAACACTAGACAATCACTCTTTGCCAGAAGAAATTCACACCAATCTGCTGTCAATCTTTCAGGATATTGTGTATATTGCATCAAAAGGGAGGAAAAGTACCCCAAGTCACTGGCTCTAGCTCTAAAAACAAGACACTTGACTGGGTCTTCCCAACTGCTTACGTTATTGAATACGTTTGGACATGCAGCATCATACTCAACCACCGTGGGCCTACAGGCCAGGATCGCCCAACTCCAGGTGCTATCCTCCAATGACATACCAGCAGGTTTTATCAAAGGCTATCCCACAGTTCTTGTATGAGACAATATTGATTTTAAAGAAGAAATTTTCACAGGGGCTGGGACTACTCACATTTCTAATGGCATTATGATTCAAAGAGGGCAACTCAATGTGCCGCTTCCAAACCAGAGGAGACAGCCATTGCCAAAAAGAAAGTCTTTACGATTACAAGAGACAGTCCTGTATGAATACCACTAAACAAATAAGCAGGGTCCACAAGTGTTGCTACAAGGGGACAGTAGTCTTTTAGATAAATATCAATAAATGCCACTCCTCCTGTCATCAAAAACCCTAGACTTAGCCTATGCCATCAAAAGGTTTGGTGACCTGCAGCGCAAGATTCCAGCTTGGCGTGGATTTAACATTGCAATAACAGTTTCCACCAGAAATAAGGTCATCAGTCTATTATCTTCCCATGATAGATGCCTCTTCAACTGAGATAACAACTGTCAACACCATTCTTCAGAAAAGTGTGNCCTTTCATGGGAAAGGAAAGAAAACAACATTCAAAGTTTCCACATCAGAAGAAGAGTTGGCTTTCCTGCAAATCCATTGGATTACCTTGTACAGACTTGTGTCGTTGTGGAATGCCAGAATAACGAGAGGAAACTGGTAAAGAGCTAACCAGATGGGCCTTCAGCACATAACGGTTGTGTTTCACCAGGCTATCTGCGTCAAGGGCCAGCAGATAAGGCGGACTGATGAACATTTATCCAGGAGACTTATCATCAAACTGGGTGAATTTCACACCTGCATGTCATTCATGTCAACACTTGGAAAGCGGTTCATGGAGGCAGGGCTACAAGATATTCTGATAGAGTCAGAGATGATTGCAGCTAGATCAATGGATGGTGTTATTACTGGTCACCATTACAACAGGTCGCTTAGGTCACAGAGACTTGCCTGTGAGGCACTGGAGAGGCTCGTGTTTAAGTCATTTCTTGACTCTTTACCGAAGAACATGTTGCCATTTACTACAATGACATGTCAACAGAAATGTCTTTTACATATCCAAAGCAGACCCTGATAGAATTGATCAGATTTCCTCGTTTCAGTGATCTAGTCAATGACTACGAAGAGTACCTACCTGCCTATTGGGTAGAAATGGTAAATTTGCCCTATACCCACCCTGATGCACATGAAGGTCTCACTGCACCTGGAAACTGGACAGAGCAACGCCAAGAGAAGTATGGTTTCTCTGCCATTGCCTGTGACCAGGCCACTGAACAGACAGTAAATAAAGACTCAAAGACCAGAGGAGGGATTAGAGGCATCAGCCTCAACCAGAATGCAGTCCGGCGTTGGATCCTTTCACATCCCGAAAAATCTGCCATTGCCCGTCAGTGTGAGCTTATGGCTGGGATAGATCCTGAAGCTAGCATGTCCAAGGACTTCAGTGCACCAGCCATTTAGAGGGACAATGCTGCAGTAGACAGCATTATAGCCATAGTGGAATAAATGATAAATCCATTTGACAGTGGACAGGACCAAATGGTTTCACTGAGCTCGGGAGCTGTTGCAACTGAGGATGTGACAAGTGACTTGCTGGAAGCAGAGGAGAAAGGGGAGAAGGCAGCACTTGCATTTTTTAATGACAGAATCCTTTCAAGTAAGACAGACCTTCATGCTACTATCCCACAAATGAAGTTAAAGTCTTTTGCAGAGCTTATTAAGTCTAAGAAGAATACCAACTCTGGTAAAGAACTTTTCTTGAAAAATGACAGAGCCATGTTTGCACGTCTCCTTGTGATTGGTCAGAACAGGAATATTGATTTGAAAGAAATCCTCAGTTATTCTCTAGGTACCATCTCATATCCACTGTCCACCACCGATGGTTCCCTAGCTAAAACAAACAAGGCAGTTTTAATGGACATACCTGAGACAGGTGTAGATCACTTAGTTAATTACATTCTAGTTGGTGGTGCCATCATTTTTGACGGAATGGCCGTAATGCAGGCAGTGAAACCCCCAGAAAACTTTGGCATGCTTGCTGATAACATTATGAATATTTTGATATCAACAGCCAAGAGATATAGGTGCTCAAGGATGGATCGTGTGTGCGATAGATACCCACCTGTCAGCATCAAGAACCCTGAAATTTACAGTCCTAACCAGAGGACTCCGCAACAGTGGAAAAATACTTAGCAAACAGAAACAACAAAGAAATGCTTGTTGAATTCCTATTTCAGAATTGGAAAAGGAAAGCGGAACACCTGGATGACATTGATATATTTATTAATCCATATATATATATATTGCACATGGTGAATTTTGTCATCGATTGTCAGTCAGTAATGGAGAGTGCAACATTGAGGAAATAGAAGAAATGTCACGTTGTGACCATGAAAAAGCTGACACACGCCTTCTCCTGCATGCCTATCATGCTCAGCAGTCACATGAAGACATCATACTCAATTGGCATCCATGTATTCACAGGACGTGGCTCTGTAAGTGCCTTTCATGGGAAAGGAAAGAAAACAACATTCAAAGTTTCCACATCAGAAGAAGAGTTGGCTTTCCTGCAAATCCATTGGATTACCTTGTACAGACTTGTGTCGTTGTGGAATGCCAGAATAACGAGAGGAAACTGGCCATATTGCTGAGGATGATTTAGATGATATTGAAACAGATTGAGGATATAGAACCTGATTGTGTAAAATGTCACATTGAAATATATACAGTAAATTTATTAATCCAGTTCTTTAATGCCCTTGAAATTAGTTAAATTTTGTTAGTGTGTAGATCATATTGGAGAGTTATTATTATTATATATTCTCAATGAGTATTTTAAAGTTGAGAGACAGCCAGCTACAGTGTATTTGATTAAATAGAGGAGCAGAAAGATGAACTTTATTTTTTCAAAATGGTGATGTATAGCTAGTATTTGACTGTAGTAGGGTGAATGGTACAACTGTTTGTTCTGTCGCAGAGTTGTTATTGTTTTTAGACATTAAATTTATCATACTTATAGAAATCAACATCAACATATAAGACGATTAAAATAAGGTATTTTGCTGTGCCTTTTAACAATGAGATTAAAATATGACTGGAACTCCCAGTGCTAGTTATATATTCTTTTTAACGTATGTGTACATGTTACATTAAGAAAAAACTCCCAAGTACAAGTATCTGTCCCAATTGAATCTTATATGCCGTTTGTTTATTAGTCTGATGTTTATTTAGCATGAAATGATTAGAGGAAAGCTTCAGAATTGCTCCATTGTTTTGATCCCTTTATTGCAATACATTTCTTTTGTATTATAATAAAACTATTTACAACAAAGCGTCGTTTTATCTCATTCTATATAAAAATAATTTTTAAGCATATGCTCATAAAATAATCGTTTAAATAGAAGGTCCACTGTCATCCCATTGGTGATTATTATGCTATGAACGTTGGGTTTACTATCGTAGTAAAGGGTGAGACTAGTGACCCAGATTATGCATTAGGCGGAATTAGGTCAGTTTGATTCATGCATATGCAGATTTACGTCTTATTGCGTTCTATGATTGGACAATGTTTTACCCTACGTGCTCTATCCTTGCATTACTTAGTGCGGATGTTTGAAACTGAACACCGTTTTCTTGTGCAGCTTCCGTGGAATAAACTCCGCGGATTCCGGTGGGAAAAAAACTCTTATTATCTTAGTTCTGAAGAGGCCTTCTAGCCACCCGACGTGGGACCTAAACACGTCTCTCAGGCTTCAGATTACGGCCTATCCCTGGGGAGGATACATCCCGCCTACCGTATTAGGCGCTCAAAGCTAGCAAACGTACCATATCTCCACTACCAGACCAGACGCAGGCTACTACAGCCCCTCGGTGCTGAGTGGCAGGCGGGAAGACCGCAGGTACCGTTTTTATAGGATTGCTGTACAAAAATTTCCTGTCTAGTTAATTGCTGTAGATTCTACACAAACCGAATCCAGATAACATGAAGATCGAAACTGGCCTTATTACCAAGTTAATATGAACGGGCTAAAATAATAGCCATGCATAAACTTGAGACCTGTCTAGCGTATACTCACGTGTTTGGGAGTTTTGCCCCTGCCTCAAACCAGTGCTTTTACAGCTTCTGCCAGCTGCCCACCTGATTACCAATAGAGACTGTATGGATACTGTTTTGCCGGATTCTCCATAGTTTCCATAATTTAAGAACCAGAGTGGCTACATTTTTTTTCTGACCCTTTTGCTCCGGTCGCCATAATTTCCCCACTTTTCCACATTGGCTGTCTTGGGCACCAAAGAGTAACATAGTATTTCTTTCCTAGTTAACCGCAAGAGTTGGCAAGAAATTCCGCGTTCTGAAGCCGTACTGTGAGATGGTAGCTGAGTATTTAAGATGAGTATAATACTTTTTTTGCTATATGAAGGTCTAACCCACTGAGACTGCCTTCAAGCAGGGTAAAAAATAGGTAAATGAGTTATGCTTGAAGCATTGGACAAAACCATGAAATAAAGTTTTGGTGGGCATAATCTAGAAATGACATGTTTTGCAATCACATGACTTACAGGTCTCAAATCATGTTTTATCATGCAAACAACACAGAAAATAACTCACATATCAGATCTATTTTTCTTGACATCAACTGGAGCTAGGTCTTGGCATCGGTGAATGCGTACAGTCAGCCATTCGTTCTTGTAGTCATACTCCATACTGAGCAGAATTTTTCCATACACAGGGGTACTGCCGTGGCGATCCTCCTCTGCGTTTCTGTAACAGCTAGGAAGACTTTCTTCTCTTCTCTAGAAAAAGAGAAATGAAAGGGTGGAAAACCTGTCGAATGTTCAGACAAAGGCATGGAATGCACAAAACATGTAATTTTATCAATATTGAAGCAAAAACAGCAATCAACACCACATTTTTATTATGCTCAGTAGGTGACACGGACATATTTGGAATATGTAACTAGCATAAGGCTTCAGGCCCATCAGTGTTGGAGTCCACACTCTGCAAACGCCAGTATGAGAAAAAGTGAAAATTTCACAAAATTTGGCAAAAATGTAAGGAAAACCAGATCAAGGCGCCAAATTATAACGTAACTCCAGAAAATAGGAAAAATGGAAAAATAAAAAATAGGAAAGGAATTGTGTTGCAAAAGTAAAAGAAAAATAGGAAAATTTATATTAGAAATATGGACTCCCAATACCCACATTACAAAATACAGGTGTACCATAAAAATCTGACTCCCCCCTTAACTTCATAAATCTTATTTAATTTGAGTATATGACATTTATCTTGTAGTAATAGAGGGTATATTTGCACTTTTTGATATATTGAAAGTTGACTTTTCATGAGAAAATGAGAAATTAACTAGACAGCAAAGCTGAAAAATAAACAGACACCATACAGGAAACAAGGCAGCAAAGCTGACAAATGTTCAGACATTACTCAAAGAATAGTGCACCAAATAATGTGTTGGCCAATTTTGATGTACTGCTGCATTATGTTTTAAAACAGCATAATCATTCTTACCCTCTTACATTATGTGCCACAGGTAACATGGACATTGAAAAACTAACAAGTGATTTAGTTTCATGGGATATAAAAGCCACTGAAAATGCTAATGTGTGAAAAATATGTAAAAAAACAAAAGCCCCCCTCCAAATAAATAAATAAAGTAAATTAAAATAAAAATAAATAAATACAATAAAAATAATATAAAAATAATAATTATCATAAACGTAACTGATGATGCTGATTTTCGAATCAAACATTGCCACTCAGTAAATTTATCATATTATCAAAAATTTGGCTTGCAAAGTATTAGGGTGTCATCAAAATTGCACACAAAAATTAATTACTGTTAGTGTAATCCGATATGCCAATGTTGCTCTTTAGTAGTCGACGGATTTTGGTGCTTTATTCTCATCCTTGGTGATGCAGAATTTTAACTAAACAGTGCTACCTGAAGAGCTTGTATCTTGTTACTGTTAATGACACCTTCTTACGACGGATCATGGCCTAAACCACAGATGCATGCGTCATGGGGTTCACTCCTCTTGCCTTGTATAAACTATTCTGTTATTCTGTTTAAAGTTTGACGGGAATGCTGTCCATTGTTTGCTTAATCCCTTCTATTCACAAACTAGGTATTTTAACACTTTACACATTATAAAAATAATTACTTTACACATTATAAAAAGAAATACAACTGAAATTTTCTTACTCGCCATACTGTGGAACACAGATCTTGGGAATTTCCCCGGTATATTATATTGATAAAGTGCTTCTCATATATATATAATTTTGCAATATGTACTGAATTTAAAGATTTTTGGTAAATTTCCTCATATTCTAAGTGGTAATAAATGTTTGCCTGTAAGACTCCTGCTTTGGGAAAATTTTATCTAAAGATGTTCTGATTTTCAAAATTTCATACTGAGGACATTTTCTCAAATGCAAGTGGCCCAGACTCTTATTTAGAGCCCATACATTGTGAAGAAATATCCCCCAAAAATACCATGCCACTTTTAAAGCGCAGTGTCAGCCATTTAAAAAAGATTTTTTTTTTGTAAAATAGAGAATGTCATGAGTAGCCACAGAATTTTCAACAGTAAAAAGGTTACTGACCACAGCAACCTTCGCTTTTACATAATCATGGATTTTGAAGGTGACCAATTGGTTGAGAGGCAGTCACCTGAGGTCAATAATTGTAGTCAGTTTACCTCACTCTTCACCTTGGATCTCGACTGCCCCCGTATGAAATAATGCCATCAATACGTTATTGATGCGTTTTGAGTATATTAAATTATATTTAAACTTGTGACCACAACCACATCAGTGACAGACTTGGCATTTCGGTCTTCATTAAGATAAGGTTCAACCCCAAGCTAGAATAATTGAATTATGATATCATACAAAGACAATAGCACGCCGATAGTATCATAATGTATCATCACATTACAGAAACCAGTTTCCCTGCCTGCTTACTTACTGGCAACATCCAGTGGATGTTAAACTCAGTTGATGTCAGCTCTTTGATGTCCTCTTCCTGATCCTCGGATAATTCCTGCTTAATGTGTATCTGGCAGACAAACACATCAAGTCCCTCTGTCATTTTAGGGCTCAGGGCATACGTTATATCTTCTCTGTCGTTTTTGAGCAATTTCACATATTTTATAACCTAAAATGAAAAGAGGGTCTTTTTAGACATCTGTTATGTCACTCTTTATCATTATCTAAGAAACTTTGAAATTTTCACACTAATCTGTCATTATCATCACAATACTAACTTTATATACCTAAAAGGGCATATCTTTGCTGCTCAATATTGGAAGATATAAGTCGTAAAACACCAACCTTTCTATGATCAACGTCATGCATGTTCCACTCTTTCTTACAGCGGAGCAACGAAAGGCTGACATCATAAGAATCCTTTTGTTCACTTTCACTGTACTCGCAAGTTAAAAAGTGGAATTTCTTTTCCATTGCTAACATATCCATTGACAGAGATGCTTTGGCTCTAGTTATCACATTCTACAACATTCAAAGAAAAAAGTATTTACCGTTCAACAGCAACATGCAAGCATTCTAGGGGTATCAATATATAAAGAAAGAGAAAGAGAGGAATCTGCACAAACAAATGCAACAAATATGATGACAAAATGACTTCTACGGCTACAGTACTGTATGTCATGAACATAAACATGTGAAAAAAGAATGCACACAATTATTTGAAAGAATTAAGATAAATAAAGGCATATAATACAGTGACCAATTACATATTTACACAGTCATTCGCAATCTTCCATGGTATGGAAAAATGTCAGGAATAGTAATATATACAATAATAATAATAATAATAATAATAATAATAATAATAATAATAAACAAAAAACAAACCCAAGTATAAACAAAGCCTCACCTCGACCTCATCTCGGGTGTCGTTGACACAGCATATCATCAGATTCAGTAAGGCGACAGGTCGAAGATGAAATGACCCAAACACCAAGGCAGAAAGACGCTTACTGTCGCATGACAAACTGTGTTTGCAGAACTGGTTCACAATTAAGACACATTTGGTGTTTGTCAACACAACAGAAGCACTGCTCAATACTTTCCACTGACAAGGGTCATTCAAGTGAGTTTCCGACTGCCATATGTAAAATGGGTTGTCCATTCTTGAATTCTGAGTCAGATGTTCAGGACAGATCTTTCCCATCTTTCTTTGACGTGTGCCTGATATGCAGTGATAAAATGACAGGTACACCGGTGTTCTGAAGGTCAGGCCATGTGGTCCACAGACAACAACATGACTTGCTCTAGTCTGACATGGTGGCAGCGGTGGCATGTCTTCTTCTCTCCAACTAATACCAATGAACATTTCTGTAGTTTCAGTCAAAGCTCCCGGAGGCACTAACAGGAATACCCCAACTTCCTTCAGATGAACACTTCCACCTTCCGGAGGGATGGAGAATCTCCTCAGGAACGTATTTTTGAGAGCATCTGAGTGCCTGGTCTGGGGTGGGGCAGGTAATTCTGACGATGTTTGGTTTTGTGACATACCGATATGTCTGTGTCCTACAACAAAGTTTTGAAAAAAAACTGAAATTAATAGAAATATCATTCTCTTGATCATGGACTAACTGTAATCTATCTGAGAAAAAAACTACATGTTCTAACGTGCCTTGAATTTGAACAAATAAGGCAGTAAAGCTGCCAAATGAACAAATACTAAAAGCAGACAATAATGACAACTCGCTGGTTGTGTTTGTATGCCCATTTCAGTAGCACGGGAAGCTACCACTGCTTGACCAGAAACAGAAGTGCACATACATGTATCTAGACAGGAATGCAACACTCATAAACAGTTGTTGCATGTATAGAAAGGTGAAAAAGTTTAGGAGGCTTCTGCTGAAATTACGGTATGAAAATATTTTGGGAAAACCAGCATCCACCAATGACAACCCAACCCAATTTTGAACAAATTTTTGTTAGTGCCCATATACAACCTTAATAATAATAATAATAATAATAATAATAATAATAATAATAATAATAAAGGTTTATTGTGTTTTTTGCAATATATAAGACATATATTGAATGTATATGTATAAAAGTATAAAGATGTAGTATTAAAATAAAGCTTTAAGATGAATTCTAAATTATAAAAACAATAATGAGGTTAAACATGGTGATTCGTTGTTCTTTTCAAAAGCTAAAAGTTCATGAATAGACCTTGATCATTGACACATATATAAACAGTATGGGATAAAAGTGTTTCTATATCTTTTTGTCCGACATTTTGGTAAAACATATCTATAAACATTCCTTAGGTCCTTTTCTATGACACGAATGTTAGGTAAAAGATGGTTTAATCTATGTGTACACAGTTTTATCTCATTAAATAATTTTTTGCACAAGTCAGTACGCCGAGATTTCAAGGTAGGTAATTCAGTTATGTCCATTGCTTCGTTTTAAGTGAATTCAGGGTATATAATATGAAGAGCTCTTTTTTGGATGTTCTCTAAGGATTCAGATTGCTGTGCGGTAATTCCAGCATGCCGTAGCTGACAAGCATACTCAAGTGTTGGTCTGAGATTGCTTTTATAAATTTGTATCTCGACACCCCAGCGTGTTTGACCATGCATAAGAAGTACAGTCTGGATGCAGCTTTTGATATAATTTTTTCTATATGTAAGCCCCATTTCAAATTAGAACTGATATGAACTCCCAGCAGTTTGGCATGTGAAACTTGTTCGATTTTTATACCATTAGGTTATCAGGTACAGTTTGGGTTTTACTGAAACAGATAAACAGTTCAACATTTTTTTTAGGATTAATTAGCATGTTATTTTGTTTTGTCCATTCATATAGGTTTGAGGCTGCTATGGGAAGTTTAGATGGTGTAGGTTTGGCACCTTGTTCTATTTCCCTTGGAGATGGTCGGTGAACTGTCTCATAAACTGTAGTGTCATCCACATACTTTACTGCTGGTAAAAAACATTCCATGTCATTTATCATTGTAATGAAAAGGAGAGGTCCTGATTTTGTACCCTGGGGCACGCCCCCATGAATATGGCACCATTGTGACATTACTGATCCACACTTGATCCGTTGTTGTCTATTTATTAAAAAGGCATGGACCCATCTGAGTAATACTGGAGGTACTCCATAGCTGCAGAGCTTGCCTAGCAATATATTGTGGTCTATTAAATCAAACGCTTTTCTAAAATCAAGTAATAAAGCCCGAGTCTGTGCCCCATGATTGTCACTGGCCTAGGCCCAGGTGTCAAATAGCTCGATTAAGGCCATTGTGGTGGAGGAACCTTTAACATTCCCAAAATGATCTTTCTTAATATGCGGTCCTAGTATCTCCCACAGCCATGTCAAAATGAATGCTTCTAATTCCTTGCTGAGGACAGGTGTTAGGGAAACGGGTCTTAAATCATTCTCCACGCTCAGTGCTGGTTTAATTTTAGGCAGTGGCACTACATTGGCACATTTCCAGATTGTTGGTAGCTTTCCTTGACGTATGGTATTGTTCCAGATTGCAAATACTGGTGCACCGAGAACTCCAGCAAAGTCTTTGAGAATCCAGTTCGGTATATTATCAGGGCCGGATGCCTTGCCTTCATTATAGACCTTTCAATACCTCATATACTCCAGTGGTTTGGGACGAATGCCAGAAATTACAGCGTGAAAAAAATAGAATCAACCACCCCAGGGACAGCCCAACCCCTAAGTGCAATGAAAATCCTTATATTTAATTATACCTCCCCCGGTTGTAGCCCAATCCCCAGGTGCGCAAAAGTCCAAAGTCCCTATACACACAAGTTAAGAGCTCAGTTTGGCAGAAGAGGTATTAATTTGGTAGACAGAATGTTGGAAGAGAAACTGCAGCCTGCGACTGGCAGGAGCTGTTCCCTCTCAGTGGATCTCTCTTTTTATGCTTGTGGATCCTATCTCCAAGAGGTTGTTGATACTATCGGCGTGGACAAGTACACGGTGTACAAGGTCGTAAGGCAGGTTACATTGCCCCTTTGCAGAAGAAAAGATCAGTTTATTTAGTTCCCGACAGACCCCAGGGAGAAGGCCGCGATCCGGCGTGGCTTTTTTTCTTTTAGGATTGCCAGATTCCCTGGGATCATCGACTGTGTGGACGGTACTCACATCAGGATAGCGGCGCCCACTTTGAATGAGCCTGCATTCGTCAACAGAAAGAATCACCACAGTTTGAACGTTTAGGATATATGTGACCACAAAAGTATTGGTCTGTATTACCTCCGCCAAGGAGGTTATATTTTTGGTTCCGTTAGTTTATATGCCTGTCTGTCTGTTAGCAACCTTACAGATAAAAATTTATAGACCGATTTTGATGAAATTTTCATGAACTGTCAGAAGTGGGCCGAGGAACGGATGGTTAGTTTAGTGATGATCAAGATCAATAATCAATCAATAATCAAAAAAAGTTATGAACCGATTTTTATTAAATTTTCTGGAACTGTCAGAAGTGGTCCAGGGAACAGATGGTTAGATTTTGGTGGTGATCCTCAATCAATCAATACTCAACAAATCAAAAAAATAAATCATTATAGAATAAAAATTAGGGGTGAAACGGCATTGGGTGGAGACTTTGCTGCCTTGGCGGAGGACTTTTCTCGTTCCATATTCAAAACATAAATATTAAGAACTCACTGCAAATAACACGTCCAACATGTGCAGCGTTCGAGGTTTTACCAGGGGGTGGAAACGCGCTACTTACATGATTGTGACGAGCCTAACCGTCAGTATCGGATATTGTTTTGCGACCTTGAGGGCAATCAGGCTTGGTCTTTGCGTAATGTGTTCAATTGAAATAACAGATAATGTGAAGCAAAAGTAAGTTGCGTCTTGAGTAGTGAAAATACAGTAATGCAAAAATGTTGAAAACATTAATGCATAACTTAAAATACCCAGTAGGACTTTCAAAATATTTAAATGCAAATATTACTTACCATGAACTGGTCTCTTTCTATTTCCTGCACTGCCTATAAAGGGAAATGTTGCATGTGCTTTATGAATATGCCTCTAAATATGTGAATAAGTACTTACAAAGAAAAAAAAGAAAACAATCTGTCATTAAAACAAATTTAACTTTGTAACAGTTGTTAAACTGATATTTTCCATTAATGTGTTAAATGTTCAGTTTTTATTCTGCACTCGTACGCATACTTTTAACACTCCCTCTGCTACTACTTGAAGTGCCTGTGGCTGGCAGTGTGACAGTAACCCTGGTGCTAGCTGTTGTTGTTGTTGTTGTTGTTGTTTTTGTTGGAGTTGGGCTGTCACTTGAGATTTCATCATTATCATCATCATCTTCTTCATCATCATTTCCTTCTGATAAATATTTATTATTGAATTAGTGGTATGATAAATTTACCATTATAACTTTCATACATAAACAACAAATGATATTTTCTAATTTAAAAGTGAAGAAACATTGTTTTTATATTCATAATTTGTTAAGGTAACAATTGTTATACGCATTTTGTTTACAAAACCCACCAAGAGCTGTCAAAACTTCTGCCTTTTCTTTTCCTCTTTGCAGAAGACATTTTAAGATTGAACTTTTGTTTTAGCAGCAGTGCCTGATGGGTAACCAAATATGGACATAGATCTAGTTGTTCATAGCAACTATCTTCAAAGTGACGTTCTTATTAGCTATTATCCACTATATAGTGATTTTACCCACCGGTTAGCTACCCGCCTGTTTATACGCTCTTTATACAATGCATATTTATCCACCGTTTAGCTATACACCGTATAGGGCATTTACACACCGTAAAGAGTTCTCCGGCGTACAGTGCTGTACGGCTTTCATACAACCCAATCCAGCCCTGCAGTTTAAGGACTAAAAGGTCACTTGTTTTTCTCTTATTAGCATTGGCACTCAGAGATAAAGTGCATGTCATCAGTGTCAGCATGGGCACCGTAGGTGACAGAGGCAGGTAAAGACTTAATATACAGACACAATGTGTCTATACAAAAAAATACTTCCAACAGGAAGAAAAACAACAAACTAATACAGAAACTCAATAATTTTATATTACAGTTATTACAATTTAGATTTCAGTTCTATTTTAATTTACCTCCATCATCACTTGATAATTTCGTGGCGGGTGGAGTAACACCATGCTCCTGTTGAATAAAAGAAACCCAGTGATTAGACAATTAGATTATTCAATTATTTACAAGGCAAATTTATTTCACGGAGATGCATCTAATGTTTATGTACACGTTATAACTGAGCCAACCCTTAATTATATATTTGCATGACTTACCTTCTCACTTGAGTTTGGCATAAACCAAAGTCTGTACACTGAATCCACTGGTAACTCACATGCTGTCAGATCAGTCTCCTTCGGATCTATTGCCATCAGCTCCTCTTTGATTTTAGGCTTTCTTGGGTCTCTGACAAACCATTCTAACTGCAAATGTGGGCAGACGGTCTGCTTCACTTGCTGAATTTGCATGAAAACATGGTTCTTCCACTTTGCATATGCCTCTCGGATTGTTCTGTCAAACTTTGTTTCTGGGGGATATAAGGGAATCAGTTCGATGGAAGAGGATTTTGTTGACTTTCTCAAAGCACAACGAGCTCCTCTCCGTAGATCAATTGCATATACAGCATAATCATAGTACAGCTCATTTTTAATGAGGAAAAAGTCACCTCTTCTCCTTAACACTTTCCTACGTGGGGATGTGTCATTTTGAACTAATTCCACTGTAAGCCGACTGAAAAGCACATGTGGCATAAAGTTCTCTTTCCCTTGTATGAATATTGTTCCTTCACTGCCAACCCCAGATTCTGGATTCTTGCATATCTGGAGTAAGCTGGGCACATAGAACTGTCGAGAAGTAGGCTTTTCTGTTGTGCCTGGCTTGACGTCCTGTTGCAAAAGAATGTTGAATCGTACCATAACGTCAATTAAAATGGGCTTCAACTCACTGTCATCTCCCAATAGCTCATCCAAAAGTCGTTCATCTAAGATGCCCCTCTTTAATGCGGACCAATACGGAGTCCCTTTAGCTTTGACATGGTGTTTATCAACCGCTATAATAGACCTGAATGCATGTACCAGCCACAATGGGTTTAAAATGACAGTGTCTGAGAGATCATCAGTTTGAAAGTGCATAAGATCTCCAATGTCATGATGGAACTGGAGGAATGACTTCAGCTCACTGGCATCCTGCATTCCAACTTTGACAGCTAATTTTTGCAGCTCGCCATGCCTTATCCACCTTTTTCCTCGTTTCTCAGGTGCTCGTCGCAGCTGAAGATCTTCTTCTAAATTAATCCATCTTATTGGATTCTTCTCTCCCCAAGATTTTTGGCTTTCAGCAACTTTCATAACATATCGACGGAGATCGGATATTTCAGGATCTTCATCTTGACATGTGTTGTCGATCGCAAAGAAACGTGGGTCAACATGCACACCACTTCTCTTCTGTTGTATATGCTGTCGCAATTTAGCAATGTACGCATTTATTTTTACCTCATGCTGCAAGAGAATGGGAGAAACATAATTTGACAACACACTGCAAGCTCCAATCATATAATTTATCAGTCAATTGTCATAATTGATTTTTTTCTAGACGGTTCAAACTTTTTTATTTTTTTCTTCAGTCAACAACTAATATTCCAATATCCAATATTTGATGTCTAGCAGGTCATCTTCACCGGGGAATGAGGCTATCCAGGTGTATAGCCTCTATTCAGGACATACATTTGACCCCCCCCCCCAACAAACACACACACACACACACACACACACACACACACACACACCTATTGTCTTAGGAAAGGGAGGTATAGGTCAGGGAGGATGGCACCATCATTTCTGTTTGGACTGGCCCCTGTCTTCTTGATGTGGATGGCTTCTGGGACTTTTCTGTAATTTTCCCTTGGTTCACTGTCAACCACCTTGATTTTGTCCATTATTGGACCATGTGATGCTTTGTGTCTGGATTGTTCCTCATGCTGGCTTAATGTTGACTTGCTGTCTGTATTATTGAACGAATTTTGGTGTTCAGCTATTCCCTCCGCCACTAATCTTTCTGTTTCGTCCATATATTTCTCACCACACCCCTCACATTCCATTTCATAGACAACTCCACTCTTTTCATTGCTGTCTAATGGATCTTTGGGACTTTCTACTACATTCCGGATGGCGAACCCTGCTTTGTTGTACAAGTTGGTGTTGTACTTGTCTGTTGTATTTGTTAAATGTCCGTTGCAAGCGTTCAGAGACCCCCCTGATGTAGGGTAATATTATGACTTTTTTATCTTTTTTTGTCACTGTTTTGAGCTGCAGTATGGACAGTTCTTTGTTTTAATTCCTTGGCCATCTTTCCTCCTTCTTTTAATGCCAATTCCGGATATCTGAGGGTCTTTACAAACCCTTATGTACGGGATGGTGTAAGTTCCATTGTAGATATTGATCTGTGTGGGTGGGTTTACGACATATGTCTGCTGTGATGTATCTTCTTTTCTGGTCAGTTAAGGTCCAGCGTGGGTAGGGATAGCTGTTTATCCTCTTTCTCTATAGTAAATTTGATGTTTGAATGTTTTCATTGCTTTGTGCAAACAGCTTCCTCTTGGTTTTGACTTTGGATGAACTACTGTGGCTAGTGCTTTTTTTAATTCTTCCATGAACAGGTTGGATAAAAGTGGGGAAAGAGGTGAACCCATTACCATATCATAAATCTGTTTATAGATTTTATTTTTGGAATCTAAAGTAGGTGGTTTCAATTACTATTCTTAGAAGTTCCCCAAATTCCATTGGTGTTATCTTAGTCCTTTCATTCCAGCTGTCATCATTTTCTGCTCTATCCCTGGCCATAATCACCACTTCATCTCCGGGTACACTGGTGAAAAGAGCTGTCACATCAAACGATACCAATACCTCCCATTCCTCCAACGTCACCTTTTCCAATTTTTCAATAAGATGTTTGGAAAGGATCACCAAAGGATGTTTGGTGAAAGGGTCGACCCACCAACGGTTTTAGTTGATCTGCTAAGTGCCTGACTAGTGAGTAAGTGATGGGGTTAATGCCAGACACAAAAGGTCTCATTTTCCTTATGGATTTGTGGAGTGGCATAGGATCTAGGTTTGACATCTGATGTTGGGTAAAGCTTGTTTTTTAGTCCTGGTCAAGGATAGATAGAATAGAGGCTATTCACCTGGATAGCCTCATCCCCTGATGAAGATATCCTGCTAGACATCGAAATATTGGAGGTAAACACTATCTCTATATTAGCTGTTGACTGAAGAAAAAATACATTATTCTTATAACATGACACAACTGATGAACTTCTTCTCTGACCTTTTTTTATTAATTTTAATATTATTGCCTACCTTCTCTTTGGGAACATTTTCCAGGTATTTGTCTTTATGCGTGCAAACGATGATTATTCTGGGGCATGATACCCCATCTTCACTTATGTCTTGCTGTGCTGCATAAGTATGGATTGCGTCTATCCAATAATCAGTAAAGCCTGGAAATATACCAGACATAAATTCCAAATGTACCCTAGAATAACTTTTGCTGTTTTATCTTAGTAAAGAAAGCTGTCTGCTTGAAATTATGAATTACAAGTATTCCAAGGATATATATATATATATATATATATATATATATATATATATATATATATATATATATATATATATATATATATATAATAAAGCTTGTTATCAACTAATAGGAGCTCTTTGTTTCCTAAGCAAGTCCTTAAACAGAGATTATAACTATAGATATTAAACGATCAATTAAGGACCCCTATTGTCAACTTTTTTAGTTCCAATTGCCATTTCGTACCTGCTAGCTGATATATTACAACACACTTGGTACTGTTATGTAAAAAAGTACTCTTTTTGGGGGCATGAGAAAAAAAAAACCTAAACAAATTAACACTTTTTTCACATTTGCATTGGTTGTTTCTGCTTGACTTAACCAATCCTCCAGCTTCACATTTTTAACAATATAAACATTATTAATTTGGTAATATCAATAATAATGAAAGAAACCATTTTGTACCAACCATTTTGGGCAAGAGTGTATATACTAACTGATATATACAATTATGAGCTGGTGGATTCCTTACCAAGAATAGTTCCTGAGAAGTTTTCAGCACCATGCCATTGGTCGTTAGGTCTGTCTGTTAAAGCAAGGCTCATATCAATGGCAAGAATGTAAATAGCTCTGGAAGAAAGGAATGTGTGGTGGGTGTTGTAATACACACTTTGCCCTCCAAAATCCCAGATTGCTAGACGAGCTGGTGGATTTTCAATGTCGTACAAGCTTTGTGTCAAATGTGTTAAGACATCAGGCGGGAGCTCCATACTCTCCTCTGTTTTTAAATGGGACAAAGCCTCCTTGGAACTACTAGGGCTGGGCTGATGTTCTAAAAATGAAGTCAGTTCACATATTATTAAATATTAAGAAATGAATAAAGGCAACTGAAATAATTTAGTTGTGTGAAATACTGTATAAAAACCTAGGAGGAGGGGGCGGGGGGCTATATGCCATAACAGACTTTGCTTAGTCGGTGGAGACACATTTAGGATAATATATTTTGAAACCTTTCCCTTAGCAATTTTATCATAGTGGACAAGGTCACTACACCAAACCCTATATAGAGGTGCATTTAACATGCTGAAATGTCAAAAAATAAAACTGAATGAATTGAACGCTGTATTCAATTTTTTAACACATATATTTGTATAGAACAAAAACCCACGACTGTCTCAATTTATATTCAAATTTTAATTTTTACCATGTCTTTAGACTTTTATATTACGCAAAATGGTTACGTATGTTCCAAAAACGTAGGGTAACGTATGTTCTGGGTCATTTTATTTTGATTTGTACATCAATTTGCGATTTATTTTGCAGTGGTTCAGTGAGGGTGAATTAGACATGACGTAAGGATTGTTTTTAAAATATTTAAACTGTAACTCAAGGGACTTTGTGTCATGGCTAATACTAGTTAACGTATGTTCCCTAGAAAAAATGTCAAAATGTTTCATTTTGTTCAACTACTTGGTGCAAGGGAAAACAATGTTTTCTTTTGCTGACCGAAAAATATATTGTGATTCCATTATAGTTTGATACTGTGACATCAATTACATCACTATATTGGGTTTTGAGTGTATTGTCTTGCGTCACGGTCATACTTAAAAAAAATCCATATACCTGCTATAATTTCCTCTTGATTTACAGCAGACTGCTTTCCTGGAGGCTTTGATGAAGCTTGTAGAGAGAAGAAGAAAAGTAGAGATGTTTCTGTGCGATTCAATATTGATACAAGGTAAAGTGATATGGATTAATAAAAGATTCCGTGTTTTTCTTAAAATCAGTATGCGTTTTCGTCCAATACTGTCACTCTAACTGAAAGTGGTGGTGCGATAGATACATTATGAAAAATAAATTAAATATAAACAGTATCCACAATAGACTAGACGCTGATCCTGAAAAGAGGCTTATAAAATAACTTTTAATTCCTCGGCAATCTATACTCGGTTTGACACTGGGTCATGATAGACCAATGTATAACGGTTTATTTCAGGGTGGTCATCCAAAAAACCAATGGGCCGTGAAATTAATGGAGGGCGCTAAAGTCAGAGAAAGGTGCGAAAAAAGGACAATTTAGCCTTTAGCCTGTCAATATTTGGTTGGTAATTACGTATTTTTACAAGTGACTTGAATCCCAAAAAACTATGCATCAATCAACAATATAACTTTCAATAAGATAAATTATTTTGAAGCTTAAATATCAAATACTCTTTTCAAAACCTTAATTGAAACATAGTCTACTTTTCAATACTATTGCAGCAAATTCACTATATTGGTGGTCTTTGGGCGATCATATTTCTTTATATTTTGCTCTGAGAGTAATGCAAATTTCCCTGTCCATTGAAAGTTATATTTCTATCTGTCTTATAAAGTCTTATAAAGTTACGCTTGTATTACTTCAATATACGCCATAATGCTGCACTTCAAGCATCGGAAATAAATATTATGGACCATAAAACCACACTTTTTTTCTCTAACAAAAACTAGCTTAAAATACATACTTGACATTTAATATGGAATATTTTTTCCAAACCATTTTCATCAGTTTTTTTCTCCAATTTTGCTGACTGATAAATAAAAATAAGGATTAAAATCGTGTTTTAATAACTTCAAATTATCTCTTTGATGTCATGTTGACATCAGTTCATTGATTGAATTCGACAGTGAAGCATGCAAAAATACACTGCCTATTCTGTGTTATACGTCAACCATTAAATAGATATTTTGGATATCAATTTTTTACAAATCATCGTCTGTAAAAGAGTTACACGCTCCACAAAGGACCCTCATGTCAGTGTGTAGTCATAGTAAAGGTCGCTGTAACGCCTGACCTCTTCTGGCTGTAACTAGCGCTCTCAAGCGGCAAGGCATTTCTTGAGATAGTTTTTCAGAGTTCAATCTGGAATAACATTCCACGCACCGGTAAATTATCCATTTTGGCCCAGTTTTGTTGTAGGACATGTAGCCCGTTGATTCGGCGAGTAAGACCTCAATAAGGAAAGCCACGCGGTTTCAACGGCCATGGCTCCCAATTCACTAGAGAAACAGGCTGTTTACAGTGGGTACCTCGGAGGTCGTCTGGTATCCTAACCTGCTAAAACCAGTTTGGTGTTCACTAAAGGCCTTGAAAAACGCATTTTTTGGGGGCAATTTACCCCTCGTTCTGAACGTGCTGGGTGGTTTTGTTTAGTTGCAGCAGCGTATCCCGAAAGATAGTGGCTCCTGTACCCTAGAGGTAAGATTTCGAAACATGGGTGTGACCTCTGTGTAGGTACATCAGTCTGGGCATTGCTCTATAAAACTCTGCGGACCGTTCCGTTTTGCGCTATAATGTTTCTGGTAATGCCTGTCTTTTTCGCGCCATTCTGCCACAGATTAACAAATTTGTAAAGCACTACTTTTTAGGCACTGCATTACTGACCACTTGCATGAAACATTTAAAATCCTTCTATGCAATATAATAACCAAATTTGCCATTTCTATCAAGACATATTTCTCATATTAGGTCATACTTGTGAAACTAATGTCATTATGCTGCATTTCAAAATTTTAACACATGGGTTAAAAGCAGGTATTGTAGCGTTTTAAAGTACTTTTTGACTCATGCAGTGCGTAACTGTTCAATGAAACATTTAACAACATGAATACATATATCATTTAAGTCATTACAATATATTAAAAAATATCATTATTTTCAGCTTTATGGATATCTTCATTACTATCTGATACCTCTCACGTAAGGTACACATGAACATTGGGACATTCTATGTGTTAGGTCCATGCAACGGTCTTTGATGAATAATCGGGAAGCAACATGTTTTGTTTTGTGTCCATCAATTGACAATCGGCATCATGCCATATGACTACACAGCTCCATCCCCTTAGTTTCAGCAATGACTTCTTAAGCAACGCAAAAGTTGATTCAGAATTTTTATTTATTTTTATTTTTTTTAACGGTCATACGGCTCAATGTTATGACTACAATGTATCTGCCGCGGTACTCTCTGACTAGTGCTTTTTAAAATGTAGGGCATACCACTGTTTCATCAGACAGTATTTTACGAGAATTTTTTTCGGCAACAAGAATAGATACAGGGGCAGATGGAAGCAACCTTTTGTCTTCCGGAAGACAGACAAAAATTTTTAAAGTTTACATTGACGGGCATCTAATTTTTTTCTGTCGGAAAATGGTCAAAAATGGAAGATGGATAAACAAAAATTATAAGGAAGACTCAGAAAATACCTCTAGTAGTATAGTGGCTTAGGGAAAAAAAATGGCCAAATCGTGACACGGCGGATAAAAGCACCAAATTTTGCATGTGGGTACCTTTTGACATACTTAATCAAATAAGAGCCGTAGCCCACGGGAAAAAAAAAAAAAAAAAAAAAAAAAANACACTTAACATTTGTTGTAGACGGGAACCTTGGTATGGGGTCATTGGTCTGGGTAGGCGTACCCCACCCCCTCTGCAAACACCTGCAGAAATAATTTCTTCCTGCTCCTGGGTCTCGAGTTGTTTATGCATAATTTTTTAGTTTATGCGTATATTTTTTTAACTTGGTCTTTAGTCATAGCCAGTTTCACAAAAAAAACGTTTGGCCAAAAATTCCAAAATGGCCGCCAATTTGTGAAATTCTGTAGAAATATATACACACCTTTTTTAATTTTTATCAAATAAAGTATTTTCTCAATGTTTTCCACATCCTTATTACCCATATTATGCATATATGTCAGATAACAAACGAGTGTCCTTGGACTTTTTGAAAAATCCAAGATGGCCGCCGTCTGGCATAGAAATACTAGAACATGCACAAGGGTTTTCAACTAATACCAACTAGGAAGATGCATTGCCCACTATCTATTTAATTTTGTTTCTGAGTGCCTTATTACAGAAATAATATATTTGTGGTGAGTTACTAACCTTTATTCTCAGGCATTTCGAGAAAAAAACAAAATGGCCGCCATATCAAAAGAACACTATAGTATACACATAGGGCTTCTTCTGCCATGGAGATATTATATTAATTGATAAATAAGGTTTGTTTCCGAGTATTTTCCACATCTTTTTCCACATAATATATATGTGATGAGAATGTTATGTGTATCCTTTTTGAAAACAAAACAAAACAAAATGGCTGCCATTAGCCATAGAAGGGGGGGTCTGTTAATACCTACGAAAGATAGGCTTCCATATAAAATGAAGCTAAATTCAGTTGTTTTTCTTTTTATTATTATTATTATTATTATTGTTATTATCATTATCCCATGAAACATATCTGTTAGGTAATTAGTGTCCATATGTGATCATTTTGGGGAAATCCAAAATGACCTTTTCCCCATAGGAAAACTGGTGCATTGGATTTTATAGGCATTTCTAAGGCAAACCAGGGTAATCATGATATTTTGTCAAAATACCTAAGGGTACACACTTGTTACCCACCAGATAGATATCTCAAAGTCCAAAAAGAATATTGGAAATAGCGAGAAACAAAATTCAGTTTACATTGAATCCAATGTCTCTCTGGCACTAGTTGACTGTACTATTCCTATTGTGAATTGCAGCAATCTTGAATTTTCTCAAATACGCAAGATGCACACTTGCTTCACACCTGATTTATATAGAGTAAGGTTAATAAGGATGTCAACATGTTTGAACATAAAAAGGCTTTATTTCATGTTGGAATCAATGTCTGAACCGTTCCATTAATTGACACCTATGTATATTCCTATGACAACTGGAAGCTATCTTGGGTTTTCTCCGAATAGTACTCAAGGATACACTTTCTACACACACACTGTCTTTCATAAGGATAAATAGGATATGAAAGGAAAAACATTTAAAAACAATCTAAAGTTAACTACATTTATCTCTGGCATTATTTGATTATGTATACGAATATTCTAATGACAAAAGGCAGACATCTTGAATTTTTTTCAGATTACCCAAAGATACACACATGCTACAGACGAGGTATACATCATAGGGGTAATAATAAATGGAATGAAAAACTTAAATTATTTTTAAAACAAACCAATGGTAATGTAATTGTATAATGGACCACATGCCTCTCTAGCAGCAATTGAAACCCACCCATTAGTATTCCTATGTCAAATTGTAGAATATTTTGTAGAATATTTCTCAGAATATCCAAGGATGCACACTATTTACCCACCAGATATATATCATATGACTAATAAGGATGGACAAAACTTGATAAGCAAACACAATTTCACCCTGGTAGTAGATGAAAAGCCATGGATGTGCAGTTGTAATTCCAGTAGTATTCCTATGGCCAATGACGGCCATCTTGGATTTTCTCAAAATTATCAAATATGCACATTTACTACCTGCTAGATATGTATCACAGTGTAATAATAATGTGTAAAACACTGAAAAAATAAACTGAATTTGATAGTGAATTATGTTTTTCTTAGCTGCATTAGTTCTTACCCTTTGTAATACTAAAAGAATTCCTATGACATATGGCGGCCATCTTGGATTTTCTCAAAATGCCCAAGAATACATGTTAGTTACTCACCACATACATACTGTGTGGGTGGAAAGGATGTGGAAAACACTCAGAAACAAACTTAATTTGATAGTGGAAAATTAATCTTTCCAGTTGTCATTAGTTGAATCCCTCGTATACTAGAATTCCTGCGGCACATGGCAGCCCTCTTGGATTTTCCAAAATGCCCAAGAACACTTCGTAGTTACTCACCACAAACATATTATGTGGGTAACAAATATCTGAGAAACAGACTTAATTTGATAGTGGACAACATATTTTTCTAGCTGGTATTAGTTATGCACTAGTATTCCTATGGCTGTTTCTATGGTATATGACATCCATCTTGGATTTTTTTCAAAAAGTCCAAGGGAACTTGTTTGCCATCTGACATATATGAATAACATGGGTAATTAGGGCGTGGAAAACTCTGAGAAAATAATTTATTTGATAAAAATCAACATGGGTGTGTACATATTTCTATAGAATTCCATAAATTGGCGGTCATTTTTAATTTTTTGACCAAACGGTAAATTGTTTGAGAGGGCTACGGCTCTAATTTGGTTTAGAATGTCAAAAGGTAACTACATGCCAAATTTGGTGCTTTTATCCGCCGTGTCACGATTTTTCCTTAAGCCACCGGACTATAGATCCGCCCCTGAGATAGAAAATAAATCGAGGATGAGAGATTAATATCTTCAAATGTTACTGGATTTATATGCATCCATCCATTATATTAGCTGCATGCATAGTAGTGACAGCCTCATAACAGGGTTTCAAAGCCCTATTGATGGCATATTTAAATGAGATTTTACTGGAGGACGAGAATGAGGTACGGGGCCTGCTTGAGAATACAAAACACAGGGTAATATATGTCATTTTATTCTTCCAGTGGAGTTGTCAGTCTTACAGCGAGCTAACGTTTACAACAAGGATTATACAAAAGCCAAGTCGAAAGCTTTCTCTGAATCTAATTCAAGAGCAATGTCAAAACTAGCCACTTACAGACACTTCATTGCCATTTCCAAACATTTCAATGTGCTTTTCTACACTTTTCTGTGCATAGTATGCTATTGACCCCTACATTTCCTAGTTAGCCTGAGCAACAGTTAGATATCTATTCAGTAATAGACAAAAAATAGACACGCTATTTTATGCCACAGCTTTATAAAGAATGATTTTAGACCTGTTCATTGTACTAATAAGTAGATACAGCATAGTGTAATCCTTTTGCCAATTAATATTTTGACTTTTGCACACTCACATATAACTAGATCCAATTTAATATCTTGAAGTACGTATTGCAGCAGATCTAGACGCAGTAGTCTCAGGGGTCTGATCAACGGTGGGTGAGGTAGAGACGTGTGAGATTTCTTTCACACTTTTAAGATCCACTGTCCGATTCAAAGTCCTGGCTTTGTAACATGACGTTAAGGTGTACTTACTTCTCACAAACATGCACTGAATTGTACTGACTAATATACTTCCATTTCTTGTGATGAGGAATTTAAAATTAAAGGGATAATAACTCTTCCTATGAGATCTAAATCTCACAATAAAAACGTTGTAAACAACGCATAGAAATATAATGTATTCTGTTTTACCACAAAAATGGCAGTTGCAGCTATTATTCTGATATCTGAGGCTTGTCTTCAGACCACGTGACCTCCATTGATGGCTATACTCTGTTATAATCTCTTAATAACAAGAAATTATTACAAAAGAAATTATTACAAGATTATAACAAAAAAAAAAACTTTTTAGAAAAAAAAATTAAAAATAAAAAACAGGGACTTTGAACGTAAAAATGGATTCAGTAACCATAGGTAAGTGTGGGGAAATTGTTGTGTTTACTCCAGGTAAATGCATTTTTGGCTAAAACGGACAGTTATATATTATTTTGGTATTAAATATTAACTATTAAATCTTAACTATTTTGTTACACGCTTGTACAAGTTACCGCACCTAATAGACTATACCGGTATATACTGATATTGATAATATTTCTATTACCTGTTTAAAAAAACAATTTATCAATAGTAAATGCATGTGTAATGGGTATCATATAGGCCTTTATTAGCGGATAGATGCGCGTCACACAAGATGACAAATAGATACATAACATGGTTTTTGGTTTGCACTTTCATATCTCTACAAATGTTTAATCATCATTTAGCCTGCACTTCGGAGACTTAATATTGGAAATAAATACATTCCAAGCTAGTTTTTGTAACTGAAAAAAAAGTGTTGCTTGATGGTCCAGAATTGTTATTTACGATATTTGATGGGCAGCATTATGGCATTTATTGGAGTAATATAAATGTGACTTCATATGACAGATAGTAATATATCTTTTAGTGGAAAGGGAAAATTGTATTATATTCAGTGCAATATATAGAGACATATGATCGCAATCATATTGAAAAGCAGACTATGTTTCAATTACAATTTTGAAGAGATTGTTTGTTCCTTAGCCTTCAAAATAATTTATCTTATTGAAAATAATATTGGATATTGATTCAGAGATTTTGGGGATTTAAATAACTTGTAAAATTACGTAATTAACAATCAAATATTGACAACAAGGCTAAAATGTCAATTTTTTGCACCTTTCTCAGACTTTGGCGCCCTCTATCAATGTCACGGCCCGTTGGTTTTATTAGATGACGCACTGAAATAAACCGCCATACATTTGTCGATCATAATCCAGCGTCAAACCGAGTATAGATCACCGAGGAAATAAAAATCGTTTTTCAGACAAGTAGCGTCTAGCCTACAAACATTTAAACAAAACTGTCATCAAGTGGCATTCTGACACACAAGGACCGGGTTTCATCAAGGCTGGATGGGCTATCCTATGGATAACACTATTCTTGGTATAAATCCCTTATCCTCTGGATAGTTTTCTTCTGTATAAATTTGTCTTTCACAAAGGCTGGATACACAGCACGATAGTAAACCAGTGGATAAAAGTGTATCCAATACCATATTTGGAAAAAGACTTTTCCATAATGCAATTGGTTGCTATAAACATCGTAAATTTGGAAAATAAATTACCCAAAATAAACAATGTAAGCATACAAGATGGTGCATTCTTTAATTAAAATAATGGGAATAACATCTACAGGATATTTTAGTGTCAGTGTCAGAAATACCGGTATAACCTACTTATGTGACCTACATTTCTGTCCCATGCATATACAGCATAGAAAGCTAGAATAAAATCCCGCTAAAATTTATATCTTTTAATATTAAGGAATTTCTTTTGGTTATTCACTTAGTTATACTATTTGAAACTATATGCTTACGGCATATGAATCTTTAAGCACACTCATGTTACCAAAATTGTGCACAACTACATTTCTATATTTTTGAGTGCCACATCACTTACATTTCTCCATTATCTCTGATGTTTGTATAGCAATTGCCTCCACACCTTGGCCCAAGGGTTGTGACTTTTCTGTAGGATCTACAGTGGTTTATTTGAAAATTCAAAGTATTTCATTAATTATTAAAAAATGGTATCTAAAAGAGTATGCTCTCATTATATCTATCATGTTATCTCAAACTAGTATTTCTGTTTACTATAATTAACTCCTTGTTTCCTTTTAACAATTATCTGAAAACTGTTGCATATACTCATATACTTGTTATAGTTCTAGCAGTTATACACACACAGGAATTACCTGTATGACTTGCTCGGATTTCCTCATGTATCTTTTTTGTGTTAACAGCAAGCAAACGTGATATTGCTGGCCCATGACACTCTATAAATTAAAACATCATTTTAGATTTTAACATGAAATAATATTTTCTGTCCAATGGCATTGAGATGTTTCAGTTACTGCAAATAAACGATAAACAATGGGAAACAAAAAGAATTGTCCATGCAGAAAAGATTTCAAGTCATTTATTTAGAGCTAAAACAATAGATAACTGAATTCCAATAAAGAAACATCTTTTGTCTCCCTGTATAACTGTAGATTTTCTTACCAGCGTCATCTGAATTCCAACCCTCCTTTACAAGAACGTAGTCAGTTTCTATACCATTAGTGATTGGATCATTTTCTTCATCATATTCCTTTCCGAGTAGCCTCTTTCTCAGGTGTGTTTTACCTGCACCGTAATGGCCTAGCAGCATCACCCTTGCCCTCTTCACTCTTTCAAAGCCATCCTTACATGCTCGTTGATATGCTTCTTGCAGTAGTGGTTCTTGTTTATTGATCTCCTCTGAGAACTGACCTGAAACATGAAAGTTGCACTTTATGTCATAGTTTTCCTATAAAACCCACCCAAACGTCACCGTATTGATTCAAATAGCCTGGATAATTCAGATCCAAATATACGCCTAGGTCAAAATACATTCTAAAAAAAAAAAATAGTCGGGTTTCAAGTACTGTATATGAATTGAGAGGTGTGTGGTCAGGTGTTTGACTATTGAGTAACAGACTAACATGTCTTTAGTGTGAAGTAATGAGGTAATAAGTCACGTGATGTAGATCAGAGGTCATGAGTGTGAAGCGGGAAGTGGGGATGCGACGTGGCATGTGAGACATGGACTTTTAATTCTGTAATAAACATTTTAATCTTTTATACATGTATGTTGTTACAATACCATATCTGGTGACAAGGAAGTGACAGACTCACATGGGTAGAAAAACAAGTAAGAATATATACTCTTAAAAACAAACAAACCTGACTATAGCGAAATTCAATGAGAGCAGTAAAACTACATATACCATGCGTTGAACAGTCACAATGGGTGAGGTCAGAATTCCCGGTATGTTATGCGTTAGGTGTTAGTGTTACAGATCTATTACAGATACATGTATGTTACATTAATCAACAATTCTGACCTCTTACTAAACACCAGTGAAACACCAAAGTTAGTGTAGCAGATCTGTTGAAAACTATAGTTCCTGTAACAGACAGTGTTACACCAAACATCTCTGTTACATAAAATGTTAAATTAATCAGAGCAAACTAAAAAAATGTTAAGCTTAAATTTTCAATTGCCTATCCGTTTCTGTAGGGATCAACGAGGGGTTATCACATAATAATTTTAGCTTATCTGTTTTTGAAATTTAGCACGTCAGAAATAAAACATTTGATTTCCTCATAATTTTTGAACGTCTAACCACCAAGTGGTTAAGCTGGTGTTACATCTTCAAGAAGTCAATACTGAATGTGTTAGCAGACATATTTAGTTTCTGAGGCCACAGTGCTGTTATTTTTCGGTGTTTTGAATCCGGTTTTCTCCATCTTATGGCTACGCCTTCTAACTTACAGTCAAATTTATGATAAATAGGTATCTGTATAAATCGGCTCGCCATTGGGTGAGGTAACAATTCCAGGTATGCTATGTGTAAGGTGTTAGTGATACATATTAGTCGAGTCGCCACTCCCATAGGCCCAATAGTCGAACCCTGCAATGTTCTTTCCTGTAAACTTTTTTTGCTGAAATGCATTCTTCAGGCCGAGAGAAGCAAAATTAGCTTGGTTGCTATTTCAGAGACTTTGAGCATTTTTCAATATGGCCGTCAATTTATGAGGAAAAATAGAAAAACGACCAGAAGTCGCCGGGTATACTTTATTGACAGCTTTTTTGAACGTGAATCCTATCAGGAGAGCACAACAGTACTAGTGAATACGCTTAATCGCGTACCACTTAGCAAAAAAAACAAAATGGCCGTCAAATCATTAGGCAGAAAATGATAAAAGCTGCAGAATCAGTTTGTTTTTTTGCATATTTAGTTTTATTAAAACCATATCCCCTTTTTATATTTATGTTAATTATAATATTTTGTTAGTCATGACCCTTAACTCTTGGAATTAGCTTATCTGACATTTCAATAACCCCCCAAGAGTCTGTTTGCTACTTCCCCGGGTCCCATAGTCAAATACTTAGAATGTTATTCCCTGAATTTTTTTAAAGAATTTAATCCTTTGGGGGTATAAAAGCCAATTTAATTTGGGCTTTCTTGGCAGTGGCTACATACGGAACATTGATCAATTTTCAAAATTCAAGATGGCCGTCAATTATATAAAAATGTATAATAATATCATTATATTATAAATAAATAATTATGTAACATAGCAAAGAATTGGGTTCAAAGTGCATGGTATTCCGCATTTCAAATGACCGCTAAAACATGCCCAAAAAGGAAAAAAGCAGTTAAATTACATTTTAAACTGGTAATTCGGCGTATAATATATATCAAACCTTTGTATTTATTGACAAAGTGTACTTGTAAAGTACAGTTATACTAAGACTCTATAAAAACGGATCATTAAATTCTCTTTTTAATACAGGCTAAATCTGATGAAAAGTTTATCAAGGGCCAACAGGGGGTTCTGCAGGAATTTGGGCACAGGGAGTCCAAAATGTTAATCTGCAATCGGACTCTTATATTTACATGGAGTCCAACCAAGTCCGTTGGTGTTGACGGGGAGTGGGGGTAGGGGGGGGGGGAGCGGGGCGAGTGTAATTTAATTTAACTTTTGTCAAAATATTAACCTTATTATTTTTTTCGTTTTTTTATATTGATCATACCTTAATATTTTGATTTTATATCTTTATCATAACTTTTTAAGTATGTACATAAAATTTAGCTTTAAAACTTCCCATTCTTTTTATTGAGATTGGCATTTCTAGTTTTTCTTTTTACTGCACATTTTTCACTTTACATTTTATAGAGTCAATAAACAATACATCTTACAAATCATTTGGTTATAAACTGACAGCCATTTAAATCTTTGAGGCCATATTTTTCAAAATAATTGTTATTTTGAAGCTCTAAACGGGATTATTTTCATATGTTCAGGACATTGGTATACGGAACCAAAAATCTTAAGTCACAACGGTCAATAGCTGGTACGATCTCCGCTTGCTTCGATGCAGGCGGCGATCTGTTGGCGCATGCTTGGGCAGTAAATGTTGATGGGATGGTGTCGTGCGGAATCCTATTCCAGCCTTGTCGTAGTGCCTGGATCAGCTGCTGCCTTGGCCAACGGACGACCAAGATAAATGTAATACCACAAGTGTTCAATCGGATTCATATCCGGAAAATAGACAGGCCGGGGTAGGACATCCACCCTTGGGACTCCAGATACACTTGGATCATTTTTTGCTGAATGTGAACGGGTCTTGTCCTGTTGGGAAACGGTGATATCAGTTTTCTGCTGCATGAACGAGGTCATTTCATTTATTTATTACCTTGGTCTCTTGAGGACAATCAGTCTAGTACTGGTACAAATGTTACAACGACTATAGTTACAACAACTATAGGGTTATTACGAAGAATAATTATAATAGAAATAATCGCAATCATAATCATCATAACAATAATAATAGTACCTGTAGTAAATTAAATACATGAGTACTTAAATAAATAAACTACTTAAATAAATCAAATTAAATCAAATTGAATCAAATGAGATCAAATTGGATCAAATTAGATCAAATTAGATTAGATCTCATGCCGAAGCCTTCCTGCTTGGCTAAGATATCGTGCCAGGTTACATAATACTTTCTTACTGGAAGAATTCAGCAGGAGAACCAATTTAAACACCGAGGGTCTATTGCAGTAGAAAGGTTTGATGAACCTTTTTCTTAAATCTAAATATCTAGAGCAACCCAGTATAAAGTGGAATTCGTCCTCCACATCATTGCAATAGGAACATTTTCTTTGTGAAATAGGGATTTTACTGTATCTGCCCGTTTCAATTGCAAGTTTATGGGATGATAATCTTATTTTACTAATCATTTTCTTAATTTTGTAAGATAAGTTTGAATAGTAACACGGTCGATGAGGTGTCTATAGAGCCAGCACTTTCTCGAGTCGTTAATCTCTGACAATATAGCTTGTTGTTTAATATCCATTAGTTTTTGATATACTAGAGGTACAATAAATTTTTCATCATAATTACTTGGATAGTGAAAAAAATCATTAAGACCAGTTTCTGTAAAAACATCATGAATCTTAGAGAGCCAATTGCCACAGGATGGTTTAGTCCGGAATTCATACTCAAAATATTTAAGGCATTCTTTTAGAATGCAATTATTTGTGTTTCTCAGTTTAAGCCAGTATTTAACCATTCTTAATTTCCTATTGGTTACCAAAGGGAATCTTCCTAACTCTGCATAAATCATTGAGTCAGGGGTTGAACGTTTAAGCTCATATCACTACACTTTCTAAACAAACTGAACATGGCTTTGCGACATTGTAATGCAAGTTGTTTCTGGGTTTTATAATATTTACCATTGTAATTCATTGTGACACCCAGGTAACAGAATTCATTAATTACTTCCAGTTTGTGACCCTTATATAGCCATACTTCATCAGTTTTTAAAGCACCACCTTTTCTAAATACCAGTATCTTTGTTTTTCTAACATTTACAGTTAAAGACCATTTATCAGTATATGTTGATAGGGAGTTCAACATACTCTGTAGCCCCTCAGCAGAATCAGCGAACAAAACCATGTCATCCGCATACATGAGTAGAAAAAGTGACAAATCATTCATCATAACTGGCTGGGTATCACTTTTTAGAAATTCTAATTCACAGTCATTGACAAAAAGGGAAAACAGAATTGGGGACAAAATGTGAGGTCATGTGAGGTTGCAGAATCTGATCTATGTAGTGACGAGCAGTTACTGGTATGTTGCCATCAACGACCACCATCGGTTGATCGCCAGCAAGCGTCGACGCACAGTGGGGCTGCTGCTCCGGTTGTTGTTCCTGCCGGGTGCTTCTTGTGCTGTACGACTGGCATGGCGAAATGGCCCCGCAGCTGATGCAACCTGATGTAGCGATCCTGGTCTGGAGTTGACACTCTCTCACCCTGGCTGCTGTATATCGCTAACAGAGCCTGGCATGTTGTGGCATTCAACCAGGTTCCTGATTGTGGGGTGGGGACAGCCCATATATTATAGCTCAAATCAGACTCCCCTCACACCCAGTGCCCAGAGTTGTACGTTGTTCACATAATAGCCATGGCACGATTCCGTTCACTGGACTAACAACATGGGTGGCCTTTTTTTTAGGCCTTTATAGGCCTCCAAAACCTATCCTCAAAATGTGCAGATGCCCAATGAGTATTGCTCAATGTGTATTTGGTCCATTTTTGCCAAAAAAAAGCTTTCCCATGTGCAATGAACCATGGCAACATGACAACTCATCATTTTCTTAACTACCCGAGCATTTAGTCATCAATAAATCCACAATGAATAATTACATC